AAATTACATGTAAATGCAAAAAAAAAAACAGGAGTTTAATAACAAAACATACTTGAATGATGAATCTGACTGCAACATTTATATACCAACCCAAATGAACCTTTAATCACCGATTTATTTTCTCTCTAACACCGACAAAACATTAAAGTATTCATAAAACTTTTTGTATAACAGGAAGTGAGGCTCTACAAGATGCAACACATATGTATATACTCTAATTTTCTTTTATAAAAAGAAAAATAAAATTAGAGTCTCGACATTTTTTTTTCTTTGTAAAAATAATACAAAATCTCAATTGAACAGAAAACGATATATATCTAACTTTTGTAAATAAGAAAAAAAAAAATATATATATACTTAATAGAGAGAGAGAGAGAAAAAAGAGTTTCATCATGTAATTATCATATTCACTTGAGTTGATGAGTGTTGGATCTTTGCCAAATGAGCTCAAGCTCTCGGGCAAAGTCTTTTTGTCGGCCAACAACAATGGTGATGTGGTCTTTGTCAGGGATGACGTGGACAGTGGCACGTGGCACTTTGCTCTTGACACTGTAGCTGCACTCCACGGGAATGAGCTCGTCCTTGCCACCGTGGAATATGGCGATGTCACAGTCAACGTGGTCGCGGACATGGTCGAGATACGAGTCGAGCTTGGCTCCTGACCCGAAGATGATGTTGTGTAATGTGTGAAATGATCCATTATGTGTGTGACATAAGAATCCTTCTATCAAATACGTTCGAATCCTGCATATATACATTATTAACAATGTTTAGTTTCGCTTATTCAATCTTTCTTTTTTTTTGTTTTTGTCTTAGATATTAAAATTAGTAGCTAAAATTGAATTAAATGGGGACAAATAATGGAGGAGACACGATGGTCGATATAAGTCGCTTTCTATATGTTTCAAGACAAAAAAATAATTTCTATTACATAAAGCATTGCATTCTCCACTATTCAATTCCCAATATAGTATCACACTATTTATGTTAAAACTACTAAAGTAGACCAATCAAAGATTTATATATTAAAAAGAAGTTGTGTAGCTATAAGTTTCATCACATATAACAATTTGGACGCGTCTGTTTCAAGGTATTGAAGAAGATGAGTGGTTGGTTCATTAAAAACGTATAACGGTATAAGACTTTTAGACATTTCATTGTTACCCGAACCGCATGCACGGCGATCTCCGAGTTGATTTTGCTTATTCTAGTTTTCAAAATATTGTCGACATATTACCAAGTTCGATTAAGACCAAGTTCGTTTCTCTTTTGTTTAAGTTTCCATGTCTATATGACAAACATTTGTATGATATGTATATGAACCTTTGCACACAAAAAAAAAGATAAAAAGAAGATATATATGTACCTGTTTAGGGTGAGAAGGCGGGTGACAAATTCAATCAAGTGATGGTTTTTAATAAGGACAAGGCCAATGGTGCGGCCAAGGTGCTCGTACCAGCTAAGCACTGATGCACCAAACTGCATAGGTGGCCAAACTTCCTTCCGAGCCACTTCTCTCATCACGTATTGGGCTGGTTGGACTCCCTTGGGCACCTTGTAATATGGCTGCCATATTATAATTTCGTATTAGTTACCTCGTATGTCCAAAAATATTCATAGGTAAAACAAAAACATACTTGGAAAACAGAAATGTCCATACAAAACAAAGTTATACCAAACTTATACATTATTTTGTTTGGCTGCTATATCAATTTTTAAATTAAAACCAAAACCACCTAACTGATAAACTAGTATATGCAAAATAAATATTAATTTTTTTTCATAAGTTTGAGATGTTTTTCAAAAATCTTTTCCCGAAAATGAATAAAAATTCCAATAATTTTCAATTAGTAATAAGTTGGAAGTCCATTATTCCTCAAATATTGGATTCATAGAGGATATGCATAACGGACTTACGGGAGCCAAAAGGGTAAGGGATTTGATAGCTCCTGGATGTTTAACGGCGAGTGCAAGAGCCAAAATGCAGCCTAAGGAGTGAGCCACGATGTGGAACGTTTTGAGTTTGAACTGAGAGATCACCGATTTCTCAATCATCTCTAAATGTTCTCTTAATGTATATAACGAGTCATTCGGCTTAGGACTTCTTCCATAGCCCAAAAGATCGACCGCGATGAACCTATAGTTCGATTTGGCTGAATCAGAAAAATTTGGGAAAAGAGTCTCCGTCCAAAACGCTGATGATGATACGAAACCATGTATAAACACAACGTTCTCTCGGGCCTTCTTGTTATCTGCACATATATACAATTTTATAAGTTACCTTAAATATATTTCACATAATAAAATAAAATAACAAGTTTTGTGTAACGAGTGGCGACAAGAAAAATAGAGTAATGAGTGTATTAAATTTAAATACGTTTAGTAACAAGTACAATTTTTAACCATGTTTTAATTTACATTTATTGTAGTATATAAAATAAATGTTGGAATAAGAGGATAAAATTAAATTACCTTTAGGTTGTTGAACTTTGACAAACAGAGAATCTCTGTTGGAAGAAGTAAGCCAAGAAGTGCAAAAACTGCAATGGCAATCCGACCATCTTGGAGCTGTCGAGGATTTCTCAACAACAGTAGAATTCAAAGTCATTAGTCTCTTTTTACTTTTACTAATCTTCTTCTTAGACACATCGTGATCACAAGATTCGACCACATTGCCTCTCATGATCAAACCCTTGTAATTAAAACATTTCACGGACCTCACGAGCTTAGAGAGCCTCGTTAGAAGTGAAGGACCACGTGAGTAAAGCGTGTCCGAGATCTCATCGAAATGGATCTTAGTTCTTGTCAGAGACACAACCTTTGAGTACTCTCCTCGTTCCGACACTATCATCTTCTTGGTCTTGGCTTTAGCCTTTGGTGGAGAAGAGCAGTAGCAAGGTTTCCTCTCCGATTCCAAGAAGTAGTCTAAAGTCTTGTAAGTAAAACAAAGGAAGAAATCGGCAATGTCGAGGAGGGAGAAGACGAAGAAGCCCACGGTGCGGTTGAGCCACCGTGCAAAGCCCATGATGAGGTTTGTGGTGGTGAAAATGTAGAAGAAGTTAAGGGGTTTGATTTGAACCTTGGAAATGTGTTAGTGAGAGTGTTATATAAATTGATGATAGAGAGAGAGAGGGTAATATATAGCAGATTGACAGATATATGAATTTATTGTTTCATTTAAAATAATTTGCTGTCCAAAGTGATGAAATTGGGTGGAGGTTGAACCTTTCTTTTCTTTTTTTTTTGCAAACCCTAAATTAAATATTTAATTTTCATTATATTTTTGTCATAATATGTTTTATAATTTGGAATGTACTATATTAATTTATGGTTTGAGAGACTTTTGTGGTAAAACTACCAACAAGAAACTAGTATGCCTCATCACTATGGTTCATAGTTGTGTTCCCATAAACAACAAGTGTTTTGAAAGAAAAGAAACAAAACTCTTAAACTTTGGTTTAATGGATCATGTAGAATTTTTTGGTTTCATCATTCTTGCGTTTACTTAATTTGGAGATTGTTGTAGACTTGTAGAATGGCTAGATGTGAAGTAAACGCAAAAGTATGATCGTAGTCAATGTCAGTGAAGTACACTGGTGAGGTGTCTTCCTATGGACCTCCAACACTTAAATAAGAATATAATTCTAGAGCTTGAGTATTGGGATAAATAGACAACATTTGTTTATGGGTATCGAAGGTTGAATCTAAGAGAATAAAGACAATAACTACTTTCATATATCCCTTGAAATTAGAATATAGTTTTAGCTAGAGATTGAGATATAATTACAATGTTAGTTTATGGGTTCGAAGGTTAAATCTAAAGAATAAGGATTAAGGACAATGACTAGCTAGCTAATGTCGTACCATCTTCGGATAGATGCCTTATATCCCATCACATTTCTATGTTTTCGCGATTAAAGAAATGATGTCGAGCATTAGTTGTTTTCGCATATTGTCTTAACAGCTTTTAGATGAAATTGACATAGAATGACGATATGATCAAGAGTTTTGATATCTAGATGTGACGATTTTGATTAGTCATTACATAAAAAAAAATTATTTCGAATTATCTTTTAACATTATATATTTTTTATATTTTTGAAATTAAATGAAATATTATATACTAAATGTAGTAATTTTAATTAGTTAGATGACAAAAAAGAAATTTAATTAATTAATAGTAGTAACTAGTAAGTAATATCTTTAAAATTATGTTTGTATATAACTGATTTTAAAAAGGAGCATTCGAATAATACCTCCCTGAATTGTTTTTCTTTATTCTTTAGACTGTGTGTGTGTGTTTTTTTTTTTTTTTTTTTTTTTTACAAAGACAACATTATTATCGGCATTTTGAAGGTGTTTCTTTTTATTTGTAAAGTTTTTTTTTTTAATAAAGTTTTTATGTTTGATTTTTGTTTGAATCGCAACATAGTCCGGTATTGTATATAGTTGAAACTAACCCACATACACAAATAATATATATAGTGAACAATATTATAGATATATATATATAATTCTTTTTTTTGGATATATATAAATTCTGTATAAATTGTTTGTGAAGAAGAAAATATGAAGCGTACGTGTTCGGTGAGGCACATGAACCATTAATTTGCCATCACTCTCTTTGACTATTAGTATTAAGTATTAACCAGTTCATCTAATAGACAGCCTAGCTTAAATTGTTGTCCTATCATAAGAATATAAAATCATAGTATTGGTTACCAAATTTATAAGAAAAATCGAATGTTAATTATAGCTTTAGATTATTTTTGCAATCTTCAATCATCATCTAAATTTCAAAACAATAACAGTGTACGTAGAAGTTAGAAGCATGTGCTATAGTATATTTTGAACAAGTCATGCTGTTAACATTATACGTAAGCAAAAGGAATGGTTCAAAAGTGTTAACGTACTCACACACACTATACTTTAACCAAACAAGTCTCTCTCGGATCCTACCACTCATTGGCAAAGATCTAGAGAAAGTTAAAGAACAAAAAATGAATTTCACTCGTAGATGTTCTCTCAAGCCTTTCCATTTCACTTTCCTTCTTCTCTGGCTATCACATTTTCAGGCTACTCGTTCTTTCACAAACTTCATATTCGGAGACTCATTGGTAGATGTCGGAAACAACAACTACATCTTCACATTGTCTAAAGCGGATTCTTCGCCTTACGGCATCGATTTTGGACCTTCCAATGGCCAACCTACGGGAAGATTCACTAATGGTCGGACCATTTCTGATATTGTTGGTATGTATACGTATGTTTATCTTTCCCTGCCTTAGACTATTCATTCATAAATACTGAAAACGAGTAACTAGTACGTAATTAGAAATAAATGTGTTGCTTAAACGGTTAGTTGCACACAATTTATATGTATTCAATACGATCTAAGTATCTAACAAGAACAATGACCTTTTGTACACACACTTAAAGTCAACTATATTGATAAGTTGACTCTTCTTGAAGCATGGTAATGTCGTAATTGGATTGGACCAAACAAATTTAGTTACGCGTTATAAACAAAAAAAGTTGTAATGGGAGAGAAGTCAAAGGCTTAAATCTCATAAATGCGAGTTTGGTAAGGAGTTCTATTAAACTCTTTCTCAATTGGTCCTCTCAATCACTTAATTAATATGTCAAAGTTTAAGATGATGCCACTCTGTGTTGATAATGCCACAAAATTAATAGTATGTAGTAATCATTTGATCATAAGATAGACTAATATATAGTTTTATTGGAATATATTAAAACATATTAGGTGAAGCCTTAGGAGCAAAATCAGCACCACCTCCATATCTTGAACCAAACACTGAGACTAACTCAATCCTCAATGGAATCAACTTTGCTTCTGGTGCGGCTGGAATCTTGGACGATACTGGACTTTTGTTCGTAAGTCTTACCATCTTTAACCTTTTTTTAAGAAAATTTGAATAACATTTTCACATATAACACTCTTTTATATATCTTTAAAAGTGAAAAATTAATAAAATGTGTTTCTATAATATCGATATTTTCATAAACTCAGTATAAATTTCTTAAACCATTTTTTCATTTGTCATGAAAGAAATCATCTTTACAATTCGAGTTTTATCTTTTTTGAAATAATTTGAAGATAACTCTATTTTTATCGTTCGATACATTACTAAATTTTACGAATACTACTCACGAATTTTTCTTTTCTTGACAGATTGGTAGAGTTCCATTGAGTGAACAAGTAAGTTATTTTGAAAAGAGTAGAGACTATATGATAAAAGTGATTGGTGAAAATAGTACAAAAGAGATGTTGAAGAAGGCAATGTTTACAATCACAATTGGATCAAATGATATATTAAATTATATCCAACCATCTATACCTTTCTTCTCCCAAGACAAGCTCCCCACTGATGTCCTACAAGATTCTATGGTGTTCCATTTAACCACACATCTTAAGGTAACAATTTTTTTATTATTAAAAATAGTATATTGTATAGATAAATACATAATGCTACAAATTCGGACACCTTGACTTAGTCTTTGAGTGAAACAATTATTATTATGATCATTTGTTATCATCACTTGGGGTCCAACATTAAATTTTGTGGTGACAACAATATGAAAAAAAAATCATTTGGGACCATTCCTTTAAAGTTTTCATAAAATCTTTTCTCGCAAGGATTAATTTGTTTTTGTTACGGCTTGATGTGTTTACGTTTACAATTAACAAAACGTAAACATAATTACATAAACCACATCCTAAGTCGGTGTTAATTGCGTGTTAACAGCGTTTGCATCAATTAGGAGCTAGGAAGTTCGTGGTGGTTGGAGTTGGGCCACTTGGTTGCATACCGTTTGCTCGTGCCTTAGAATTAATACCAGCCGGAAAATGCTCTGACCAAGTCAACCAAATAGTCCGAGGCTATAACATGAAGCTTAGACACTCTCTTATGACTTTGAACACTGAGTTAAGATCCCAAGATCACAACACTACATTTGTCTACGCCAACTCTTACGACCTATTCTTGGAACTTGTTTTGAACTATCGACAATTTGGTAAGGATTTGGTGTTTTTGTTTGATTCTAGTCACTGATTTTATGGATTAGAACCTCATGAGATGTTTGGAAGGCTTGGAGAACGCAGACAAGCCGTGTTGTGGCGGGTACTTTCCACCATTTACGTGCTTCAAGGGACCGAACCAGAACTCAAGCCAAGCGGCTTGTGAGGACCGCGCCAAGTTTGTCTTTTGGGACGCATATCACCCAACCGAAGCTGCCAATCTCATTATTGCGAGAGCACTTCTTGATGGTGACCAAACTGTGGCTACACCTTTCAACATTCGTTATCTTAACGATCTTTAATTACATCTGTGTGATTCGTAAGCATATGAATATATTCAGTCACATGTCATGCATATCAATAAGTCGCTAAAGAACTACAATTTTCTTAGGAAACATCACAACAAAGATAGAGAGGCTCTACTTATAGATTATAAAGCTTAGTGAAGCTTGTACATTACAAACTGAACCAAACTCAAATAAGTGGCTTACAAACCACATTGAACTCAATCCAATCATCACCAGTTGAATGTATCCTTAGACTTCTCAATTTTGGTTTTGTACGAACTCTCTATTTCTTCCTGCAGACATTTGATTAACATATCATCACTCTTTCAATAACTGTAGCAGACCCCTTTTAAAATATTTTTTGACATGATCACACATCGATTCAAAACATCGAGAGATTTACCTTGCAAGATTTTAGTAGTGGTTCTAGGAACGAGGATCTGAAGAATTTGATTGATTTCCCAAGTAAACTTCTATCTGAATCTGCAGGTGTTGAATAACTTAAAATTATATATGCTAGTAAAGTCTACACTAAAGCAATTCCACATTGATTGTATTTGACAACATACCATCATCTACATCCATACTGACGCCTCCTGAGTTGATTTCTTCTATTAGCTGATATTCATTAGAAAATGAAACATAAGCTAAGGAAAACTCTCTCTGTGATTAAATATTTCAGAGCCACACTTAATGCATCACATTATCTATTATTTTACCTGTGAAAGAGTTGGAACTGCCAATGGATCAAACTCATCGCAGTTATTCGGGTCAATAGGAACACATACACGACCTGAAAACCAGACAACATTTCTTAAGAATTTGAGCTCACATCCATATATTGAACTGAGTATGAATATGATTCTTATCAACTGGTGTTATATAGTCAGAATCAGTGAAGAAACCTGTTTTTGGATGGACACAGAAGGGTGCCTTTAGCAAATGGTTCATCTGCTTTGAGACCTGAAATAAAAAGAAGGCACCATACCACTAAACAGTCACTAAAATTGTCCAGCCTCCATCTTATCAGTTGCTACAGGATCTTACACAGCAAGGAAATATTACCATTATAGCACGGTGGGTTTATTAAAAGTGTATCATAGATTAGAACAAACCTCCAAATCAATTCGAGGATAGGTAAAGGTAAAGACAATTTCTTCTATGCATGTCCGCAGTGATAGAGCCTATAACATTGGAGACAGGACAGAAGATGAATAAATCTGGAATTCAAGTTCATTATGCTAACAGCTGAGTGAAAAACAACTAAGTCTTTCACAATAAAACATACATGTTTTCAATTATTTCAGAAATTACACACCTTGTTTCTCTTTGACTGAAGCGTTTTTTTAAGCTGCTCCCACCGTAAAAGGCTGGTAGCTTCTTCTGATAATGATGATCTCGATGAATTCTCCCACCTTCCTCTGAGATCTGCTTGAATATCTGTCGCAAATATGTAAATAATTGTAAGTGGCCAAATTGAGGTGAGGACCTTGGGTACGATGGAAAAATACATCATCACTCTTCCATACCTTCATCTGTTATCATCCCAAGTATCTTCTCATACTTTTCTTTGCTTGAAAAAATACTTTGAGTTGCCTGTAACTCACCCTCAAAGAAATTCTTAAGAAAATCCACATATGATCTCCTGAAACGCCAGATTGAAATTAGTAACAAAGACAGTGATTTTAAAATCAGGAAGGAAGAGGTTATGGATAAACCCGTACGCAAGGAACGGATGAAGAGAATGACCCATAAGATCGACTTTTTTTGCATTGTTTTCATTTCCCTGTGTCACATAAACAATAGATAAACTCAGAGAATTTCACAATAGCAGAAACCAACAAAATAAACCATAGTTTAGATCTTAAGAACACTACCTTATAAACTCGGAAGTATTCAGCAACAGCCGATCTTTGTTCATTCGTCAACCTGCACAATTTTATCACACAGTTCTTTATTTCCTAAAGCAAAAGGTGAAATGCAGATAGTAATACATGCACCAAGCGAAGTGAGCAATGGTGTTAATAGTCGTTCAGTAATTGTTTCACCTTCGAGCTTTAGCATCACAAACCCAACAGTGAACTCCACGGCGTCCACTGAAGACCCAGAGAATATGTTTGAAACCAAAATCCTCTGCAATTGACAAGACCAGAATGATTGATTACAACTTTGTTTTATGATAAGACCAAACAGTCTTGCCCATTGACAAAAACTAGATCAAGCAATGAACTCCAAAATGATCTTTACAATACAGGGGCAATAAAATACAAAAAGTCGTATAGATGGAAAATCTCATGAACACTAGAAACTCTAGTTGTATCAACTATTTGAAAACTTAAGAAAACATATGTGATACCTCTCAAGGAAGTATCAATGACTTTGATAGCAACTGTCATTAAAGGCCAACACTTGGAGCAAACATCGGCTCCCGAGCAACAGTACCTTACATCGTCATAATCTGTTATATCCTGAGGAAACAAACAACATATTCAAGACAATCAACAAAGAAAAGTACATAATAATAAGCACCAAAACCAATTCCAAGAAATACTTAACAACTTACAATATCAAAGACTAACTCCCTCTCCACTGGAGTAAACAAATTAGTTCCACTGTGCGCATAGGCATGTCTTTTATCTGGCTGAAGAAACACATTCATAAACCTCATATGAGTATGATAGTTTCTAAAACATAGACAAGTTACAAATTTTTTATTAAAGAAAAAAAAAACAGGATTGAACAGCTTACATCTACGCTATACACAGCGCCAATATCAATCTTGTATGGGAAATTAGATTTGATAGCAGCTTCCATAGCTGAAGCATTCTTGAAAGACTTATACCGCAAATAAACATCGTTTTCAAGCGTAAACGAGAACTCTCTTCTACCAAAGTAGTATTCATCACAACCAGGATGCTTCCCATCTACATATAACAAACACAGACAAATATAGAAGATATCATCACAACCTATAAGCTTTCATGTGTGAAAGAACAACAACAAAACACAAGTAATCATCATATGTATGTACCGTGTCCGTATGACAGCCATTTGTAAATATCAGAGTAAGGAAATAGATTTCCTGCAATATGTTATAAGCAAAAAAAAAAATCAGCTAATCAAACAACATATAGATTTGATTTATGAAGAGACAACAAAAAAAGCCAAAATGTAATAAAAAAAATTAAAACTTGCCGTAGTAAATCCGGAGGTAATGAACATTGAATTCGTTTTCGATTTTGGGTTTTGGGTCATCAATCATCATATCATCTCCATTGTTTTTAATCTCCTCTCTCGTCATCTTTCTCGCTCAAAAAGGGTTGCTTTTACTATCTGGGCAAACAAAAAAATCGATTTTTCCCACGTAAGGACTCATATAAACATCATAATCGGAATGAATCAAATTCTCATCACCAAAAAGGAGTTAGTAGATACAGAACATTAGTTTCAGATTGAAATGATAAACTTCGGACTGAATTGATCGGAAGAGAAAGAGAAAGCTTACGAATTTTGAAAGGTGATAAAAGGAGAAGCTTGACCGGAGAACAGTGTCGTCGTCGTCGTCGATTTAGAAAATTTTGTGGGCATTTGGGAGATTTTTGGAGTGGGCAACTCTGTGAAATAGCGGGAAAGAAGAAAGCAACTAGGGTAAATTTGGCGGGGAGAAATAAATGTGAGACAATGGGCTCAAACCATAGTTATGGGCTTTCTCATTTAGGCCCGTTGAACTTTTGTAGCTTTTTAAATACTTCTGCTGATTCGAAATTTAGTTTAAAAGACCGTTTTAAGCATAAAGTGAAGGACAAAAACGTAAATTAACAATCCCCTCTGCTTTTTGGTTTTTTTGCTTTCTTCTTCCTTGGCATTTAATTCTCTCACAGCAACTTTGCCTCTCTCTCTCCCTCTGTGGCGATCTCAGATATGAGGGTTTCTCGAGCTCCGATTTCTTTATCCTTACTTTTCTTCCTCTCTGCTGTTTTGAATCACCACCTCTTACTTGGCGCTCCGATTACGTGTTCCGGTATAGTTCCGATGAAGCACAGGACCAAGATGTTATCGGTTTCTGATTTTGGAGCTGTTGGTGACGGAAAGACCTTGAACACCAAAGCATTCAATGCGGCGATTGATCGTATACGGAACTCCAACAGTATCGATGGAACGCTTCTGTATGTGCCTCGTGGTGTGTATTTGTCTCAGAGCTTCAATCTCACCAGTCACATGACTCTATACCTCGCTGATGGTGCCGTTATTAAAGCCGTTCAGGTGAGTGATTACATAACCATATGAAGAACTTGATTCAATGATTATGTTAAGTATTGTTTGGTTTGTTTGTTCTCTGGTTTGATTTTGAATTAACCTTGATCAAAGCTTTTATAACTTCTCGCATTAATCTTATGCAGAACTTGATTCAGTGATTGTGTTAGGAATTGTTTGTTTGTTTTCTGGTTATAAAGCTTATCTATGATATGTGATTGGATTTGAGGATTTATGTTTAGGTGTGACTGTAAAATGCATTTATACCAAATGATTTAAGGTTTTGAGTTTTCTAAGGTAGTTTGATCATCTGGTTGTTGCATATTGAAGATTAGCTTCTTTACTATGGTTTCATCTTTGATGTTGATATCTCCTGCTCAAGAGTCACATTGTACAATTGTACATTGCGATTTGTGATTGAATTTGCCTTAAGGAATAATGCTTGTTCAATTGTTTTAGGATACGGAGAAATGGCCTTTGACTGATCCTTTGCCGTCTTATGGAAGAGGACGGGAGCGCCCTGGACGAAGGTATATCAGCTTTATCCATGGAGATGGACTCAATGATGTTGTTATTACAGGTGAGGCTGGTTCGGAGATTACTTTTTGTGTCTTAGATGTCAAAAATGTATCTTCTGAAATCAGATTGCTTTGTTGCTGAAACTGAGAACCCGTTTGTGTGTTAATTGCCGTTTCCCAGGCAAAAATGGGACGATTGATGGCCAAGGAGAACCTTGGTGGAACATGTACAGAAGTGGAACTCTAAAGTTTACAAGACCGGGTCTCGTCGAATTCAAGAACTCAACAAACATAGTCATCTCTCATGTTGTTCTTCAGAACTCCCCTTTCTGGACGCTTCATCCTGTTTATTGCAGGTTTACTATCTCTCTCTCACTTTGTAAGCATCTCATGAACTTGAATATGCACTTGGTAATTACTACTTACTACCTCTTTTCTTACAGTGGTGTTGTTGTTCATCACGTTACCATTCTTGCTCCAACTGATTCCTACAACACTGATGGAATTGATCCAGGTTTTTTCTGTTTTCCCTTGCACTTGATCACATCTGTTTGGTTTCATATCATGACTGATGAGCTAACTTAATTGCCCCAGATTCAAGCTCTAACGTCTGTATAGAAGACTCCTACATATCTACTGGTGATGACCTTGTTGCGGTGAAGAGCGGTTGGGATGAGTATGGCATTGCGTACAACCGTCCAAGCCGTGATATCACCATTCGCCGCATCACTGGATCTTCCCCTTTTGCTGGAATAGCAATCGGAAGTGAAACCTCTGGCGGAATCCAAAATATCACGGTAGAAAACATCACTCTGTACAATTCGGGGATCGGCATCCACATCAAAACAAACATTGGCCGAGGAGGAAGCATCCAGGGGATAACAATATCCGGAGTTTACCTGGAAAAAGTCCGGACAGGGATTAAAATCTCTGGCGACACCGGAAATCACCCAGACGATAATTTCAACCCGACCGCTCTTCCCATAGTAAGAGGCATAACAATCAAGAACGTATGGGGAATCAAAGTCGAACGTGCTGGCATGGTTCAGGGATTAAAAGATTCACCTTTTACCAATCTCTGCTTCTCCAATGTTACACTCACCGGAACAAAAAGCTCTCCAATATGGAAATGCTCATATGTCGTAGGAGCCGCCAACAAGGTCAACCCCACACCTTGCCCTGAGCTAACCGCTACCACCCAACAAGGTGGTTCCTGTGAAAACCAATTCTAAATACTACTTACTCCAAAGCTAAGAGAGGACATGTAGAGTAATGTAAGTTATTGGCATCTTCATAATGAAATCAGTTGTTAATACTATTTTCTTTCATTACCATGACCATAGATACCTCTGCAATCAATTCTTAATATAATCAATTTTATATAACTAAAGCTTTACAAGAAACATCTGCTACTGAATTTGATATATAAACAAAACACATCATCATCATCATCATTTTCATATCATAGGATGAACCAAACTATTTATATAATTGTATCTTAGATTCTAACACAAACTCGAGTCTTCTTCTTCAATTAGACCAAATGGTTAAGAAACTTGCGAATCTTTCTCTTGAACATACCATTGTAGTAGCCTCTCTCATCTTCTTCTTTACGCTTAACCAATTTCACCGTAATCGTCTTTGAGTCATCATCCTCCTCCGACGCGAACGATACGACCAAGATCTTGATCGCCGGGAAATCTGCAACGACGGCGTCTGTACCTGCCGCCTTTTCATCTTCGCCGGAGAAGATCATGTCGGTGCCGTAAGAGATCTGAAGACCACGTCGTCCCCACAGCTCGTGGCACGGACGGCGTTTGAAAGGAGCCGTCGTCGTTAACGGACGTCTAGGGAAATGACGGTTGATCGGATGGAAATTGACGAAATTCAACGGCACTGTGACCTCGTCGGGTCCGGGAAGGGTTGGTTTTGTGGAATCTGGGTCGGGTTCGGCTGATACAGTGGTTAAGGGTTCGTCGATGATGTCATTCCCCGGCTTGGAAGTAGCGACGGAGATAGCCAACGTGAACAGAAGAACGGTAACAGTAACGGTAACGGTAACGGTGAGCGAGGCCATTGCTGTGTGTGATTGTGAAGAAGGAATTCTAAACGGGGTTAACTACTATTAACGTTTTCTCCAGGAATCAACTTTTTACGCTAAAATCGATAAAAATAGTTTTTTTTTTTGTTTAAATTGAGGTTGGGCCTAAAAGCCCATATTTTAAGGGTCGGACCATTATTTATTGGCCCAATAATTAACGTTGTCTCCAGGATTCCACTTTGTCAGGCTAAAATCGATAAAAATAGTTTTTGTTGTTTTGGGTTTGGGCCTGTTTTAATCTGGGCTAGATCATAATTTATTGGCCCAATTATTTTGGCGCGAAAGTTAAATCCTTTATTCCCTTTTCTTTAGGGATTTTGGAGACTGTACGTCTGAGTGAGACTTTCCAGGTTTCTTCCATGGCGTCACGGAGGAAAAGAAGAAAGAGGAATGAAGAAACTTGTACTGATAAATCAGAGATTGCATGTTCGCCGGTTGTTGTATTAGCTCACGGTGCCGGTGCTCCCTCTTCTTCCGACTGGATGATTAGGTACTAGTTCTACTAATCTAATCTTCTTCTGACTTCATTCACTTGCTCATGTGGACACAAACTGGTTTGAAGTTTTTCTCTGTATTTGTTGGTGGGTTTGGCTTTAGATGGAAGGAAATGTTAAAGAAGACATTAGCAGCTGTTGAAGTTGTCACATTTGACTACCCTTGTGAGTGAATTTTTTTGTTTGGGTGAATCGTTAAGTTTGAGTATATACTTAAAAGCTTAAAGTGACTGCGGACTTGATTCGTAGATCTTGCTGGTGGGAAAAGAGGAGTTGCTCCGAAAGCTGAAAAGTTGATTGAGTTTCATTCAGATGTTGTTAAAGAAACTGCTGCTAAATTCCCTGGTCATCCTTTGATATTAGCTGGCAAATCAATGGGTTCTAGGTACATTTCGTTTGTTTCGTTGCATATATTCTGGTGTTGAATGTGACCTTAACCTTATTATCACTTGTAGAGTAAGCTGTATGGTTTCAGCTGTGAATGAAGATATTACAGTTTCAGCTGTGATATGTTTAGGATATCCACTTAAGGTTTGGACTCTATGACTACGAAAAGCCATTTTTAGTTTCCCCCGTAATGTATGAATGGCCAGTTGAATATTACACGTTGTCTTCAGGGAGCTAAAGGTGTGATAAGAGACGAGACCTTGCTGGAAATGGGAGTCCCAGTGATGTTTGTGCAGGTATTCTACGCGTTAAGTAACAAAACTCTGTTTCGCCGATGAATGGTTAAGGAAATGATTGAATCTTTGTTTTTTTTTGGTTTGAAAGGGTAGCAAAGATCCTATGTGTCCTTTGGATAAACTTGAAGCTGTTTGTAACGAAATGAAAGCTGTGACTGAGCTGCATGTGATTGATGGTGGAGATCACTCCTTCAAGATTGGGAAGAAACACCTCCAAACAAAGGGGTTAACACAAGCTGAAGTCGAAGATATCGCTTTGAACGCAATAGCCACTTTTGTCTCCAAATCCATTGCTCAACGCCCATAATTTATATATCATCGCCTGCCTTTTACATAACTTCATTCAACTCCTAATGGCTAATGCTATCAATTATGTGCCAACTTTGGTTAAAATTTCTAATGTAAACTGCAGTTCCATGGATTTCTTTTTACAACTTCTTACACCAAAGTAAGGTGGTTTTGGCTTTGTGTGATGAATACATTTCAATACAAATTTGCGGTCCCTAATTAAATTTTTGAACCAGTTAATATATAGATAAATTACTAATTTTATAAATTAATAAAATATTACAAGTCCAACTCTATAGAGGTTGTTTTGCTGTAATTGATTACTAAATTACACATGTTGAAATGATTTACTTATATCCTATAAGGTATGTCAATATAAATAGTTGAGTTGATTATGATTAATTGGCCCTTTGTGAAGAATGATTGCACAATACAGAGAACCTTTTAAGAAAAAGAAAATCAACCTCTGACAAATGTTATTTGTAACTTTATATATTTCTAAATAATTTATTTTAAATATTTTGAAAAAATTGTATATAAGTATTTAAAAATATATTTTAAAAATTAATTCATATATCTTATAATTAGAATATTTTCAGTTTTTAATTCCAATATTAAATATCTTTATAGAAGAAGAAATATGTATTCAACATATTTTCTCAATATTTATTGAATTATCTTACTTTACACATCTTATGACTATTACAAAAGGAAATAAATCTTATGAATACCCTATAAAGCAAAAGTTTTTGCTCCTCTTATATAAATCTTCTACCAATTTTTTTACTTTTTTGGTAAGATATTATTTTAAAATAAATTGGTCAAATGGTATTTTCCAAACTTTATTAAAGCAAAGTATTTACTACAAATTTCAGTCAATGCTAAATATTTGCTGTCAAAGAAATTATATTAAGGAAATAAATCTTATGAATTACCCTATGACTCACTCTTGTATAAATATACACCTCTATTAATCCTAAAACATAATCTTAATTAAATCTATTTTCTCTTTTCTTTCCCTTCTTTTACAAAAAAAAAATCCCCAAAGATATGGTGAAGACGTTAGAGAAAATCCCTCAATAACCTCTAGACGAGGTATCAATACTTTATTCGGAAAAAGGTAAAAATCTCTCTTTCAAATTCTCAAATTAAAATATTGTTTTCTTTCCTCGGTGCTGGATAGGATTAGACACATGTTAACATCAATTAGTAGATAACCTGAAATTTAGGGATACCCAAATTCGGATTTGTCGGATCCGTGAAACAACTGCAGTGATTCTGATCCGCAATATCCACGGGTATCTAGATCTACACAAAAATAGCTACGAATCTTATAATTTTTTTAAAAAAAATATCATATAAATACTTCAAATAAATTTTAAAAATATTTAAGACATATTTCTTTTATATGCCTTTATTAATTTTGAGCAATTTTACTATTTATATTATATATATATATATATAATTCATATATAGATAATTAAATTATTTATTTATATAATCGGATCGATCCAAATATATGTATTGTAACTTCAAATCTATATATCCAAATCCGGATCGAGGAGCTCCAAATACCCAACTTTTTTGGGACCGGATTTGGTTCTCTGATCACCCATAATTTTGCTTGTCCTAGTTTGTGGATGATCTTCTAAGCATGATGTCTTCTTTTTCATTTAATTTTATAATCGTATTTTATTTTAATACAAGAAAATCTTTAGCTCATATTATTACATTCAAATTAATATTTTGACCTCACTATAAGTATGTTGATCTGTGTGTCAGGAAATGGATAGGATCAGTGATTTACCAAACGCATTGATATGTCACATCTTATCCTTCCTTCCAATAAAAGAGGCTGTTTCAACTTCTGTTCTTGCCAAAAGGTGGAAACCTCTGTTTCTTGATCAACCAAACCTTGTCTTTGATGACTCCATCTATTTTAATCCTCCAACGTCTTACAAAGAAAAGTTAACGAACGCTAGAAGCTTTATGCGTTTTGTGGATGGTGTCTTGGCTTCGCAAGGGAATGCTCCGCTCAACAAGTTCAAACTTGTAGGCAATTTTGTAGTCGATGAATTGTGGGTGCTGGAGTGGATACCAAATTTGCTGAAACGTGGTGTATCAGATATTCATCTAAACATCTCTTCGTTTTGGGCTGATTCTGACCGCTCAAAATTTGATCCTCTGCCTCCGGAGATGTTTGTGAACAAGACATTGGTTAGCCTCACTATAATCTTTGAAGGTGGTGTCAACATTAACGTTGAAGGTGATGTTTCTCTTCCCAAGCTTAAGATTCTCCATCTGAACTATTTCAAGACAACAACGAGTACGTTTAACAAGATTCTCTCTGGTTGTCACGTGCTCGAAGAATTAGCGTTGACTAATTTGATGTGGGACGACGAGGCTTTGGAAGTTGAACCATGCTTAGTGACTGTGTCCATCCCAACCCTCAAGAGACTAATGTTTTGTCGTTATGAAAAATATGATGATGATAACCAAGCTGTGTCATTGTCATTTGATAATCCAAATGTGGTCTACATGGAGTATTCTGATACTATTGCGGATACGTATCAACAAATGAGTTTTGGTTCGCTTGTTGAAGCTAAACTCGGACTTCGGCTGACACCAGAGCAGTTAGATAATAACGAATGGTTTGATGAATATGAAATTGATTTGTTTCCTAACGAAATGAGTAATGTAACAAATTTTCTCAATGGAGTACGCAATGTGAAGATCCTCCACGTGAATGTTAACATGCTTTGGGTCAGTTCTATCCATCTTTCTCCTAATCTTTACTTAATATATTGCTACTCATAAACAAAACTCATGAGTTCATAGGGAACGGTTAAGGTCTTGACTTGATTTGGTTTTCTGTGTTTTTTCTTTTCTTTTAGGTACTTGGTTCTTGTCGTGATACAATGCCAGCATTCAACAACCTCCTTCGTTTAACTATTGAGACTAAACCAGAAGTAATATGGAAAGCATTGCCAGCTCTACTCAGGAGTTGTCCAAATCTAGTAACCCTCATCTTCAAAGTACCATACTTACATAATCATGTGAATCAACCATACGTTGTTCAAAACACACACTTAGATTTTGAAACTGTTTCCTTTATGTTGCAGGGACTGCATCACATAAATACAGATAGATGTAAGGACGTGGACGGGTGCTTATGCAGAGAGTTTGCTGGTAACTGGGAAGAGGTCGCTCGTCCTTGCCTATCATCAAGTTCGGTCAAGGTTATAGAGATACTTAACTTTGGTGAAACTCTTGATAACCATGATGACGAAGACGATATCGATGATGATGACAATGGTGGACTTGTTTATTGCTTAAGAGAGAAGATAGATCATGTCAAGCTCTTCCTAAAGAAAATGCCGAATCTCGAACAAGTGAGGATGCACTTTCTTTCATCAGATAATGAAGAAGATGTAATGATGAAAGTGTTCAAGAAACTTCAGCAGCTTCCTAGAGTAGTAGCTTCACCCAACTGCAACATCCAAGTGTTATCAGATAACCTCAGCTTATCATTTAATACATCAGACTAAATGGTCCTTGTCCTTTACAAGATCCTTTTCTCAGGCTACAAGTTTGTGTAGTTGCTAAAAGATCCTTTTAATTCTTGTTTCTTCCTTTGATAACTCTCTTTTCTTTTCTTGTTTTGGTTTTGCTTCCCTTAATGACTCTGGCGTTGAAATGTTTTTCTCCTATTTGGCTTAGAATGGTAATATCATGCATCTTTTGTGTTATCTCTATCTTTTTTCTTGTATGTTGAAGAAAACTAACAAACCAAATAGTAAACGTTTATAAATTTGTGAAATATTGTATAGACCAAATTTGCTTGACCAATTCTTGTGTTCGCATTTACGAGATAGATTTTGCAATGAGTTTTATTTTTAAGTTTGTAACCTTTTGCTCTTTCCTCTATGGTCAAAGCTCTCCAGTTTGAAATTAACTTAATAGTTACAAAGTGAAGATAAATGTATCACGTAATGTGTGTATGTGTTAGCAACGTCCCAAGTGTTACTTTGATTTGTATTTACTTTTGCATTTGCATTTGCATGGTATACTATACTCATGTGTGTTTTTAGATTAAATCACAATTTTTAGTTTCTCTATTTCAAAAAGATATTTGTCAATAGTAAATCCCAAATGTAATAGAATACAGTTTGAAGAGTATATAAAAAATAAAATTCTTAAACCTCAATCTGTATAGAGTTTATGTTTTCTAATCTATTGACGAAGGATAAAATAATAATTATAAAAAATCTGCTTATGCAAGTTACGTAAACTAGTTTATAAAACAAATTGTATAAAGATCTCATTGAACTAATAATTACTATGGTCACATCAAAGTAAAGTTACGGACGCCAATAAATCAAAATTACGTTAAAAAATGAATTGAACTTTGCTTATAGAGTCACATTATTATTTATATAATTTTTTCTATTAATGTGAGACTTGACACACAAAGAGAAAGCCAACAGTCACTTACGGCGACGATTAGAAAGCTCACAGAGCAGCCCTAGTAAGTTTTCTCCATTTTCTTCTTTTGATCTCACTGTTCATGTCCGTATACTTGTTGTTTCTTAGCCTTCTTCTTTTTTTTTGTTCTCGGTTTCTAACAGGAGTTATTGCATGTCTTTGTTTAGGTTGTAACTTCTAAGTTTTGATCTGTTTCTGTCACAAAATGGGTTCGAGAAAGAAGGGTTTCGATGATTATGGAGATAGAATTAGCGGTTTACCAGACGCAATGCTTTGTCACATCTTATCATTCCTTCCTACAAAAGAAGCTGCTTCAACTACTGTTCTTGCCAAAAGATGGAAGCCTTTGCTTGCCTTTGTACCAAATCTTGACTTTGATGACTCTTTCTGTTTCAATCCTCCAAGGACTTACGAAGAAACGAGATACAGTTCTGTAAGTTTCATAGGGTTTGTGGATAGTGTATTGGCTTTGCAAGCGAAAACCAAAGCTCCCTTGAAGAGATTCCATGTTAAGTGTGAGAATGTTGTGGATCAATACTCGGTGCTTGATTGGATACCCAAAGTATTGAAACGTGGTGTGTTAGATATTTATCTAGACATCCCTTCGTCTAGCGGTTTTTGTGAAAACTCGAGCTTCTATCCTCTGCCTTCTAAGATGTTTGAGAGCAAGACATTGGTTAGGCTGAAGATACAGTTTGAAGATGGTGTCTACATTCATGTGAAACGTGGTGTTTCTCTTCCCAAGCTTAAGACTCTCCATCTTGATTATTTCAAGATAGAAACGAGTACGTTTAACAAGCTTCTTTCTGCCTGTCACGTGCTTGAAGAATTAGTGCTGGTTAATTTGATGTGGGATGAGGATTCAGAACCTGAACCTTGTCCTGTGACTGTGTCTATCCCAACCCTCAAGAGACTAAAGTTTTGCCGTTATGAAGATTGCTATGAGGCTAATTTTCATGAGTATGAAGATTATGATGAGGATAAAGAGGGAGTGTCATTGTCGTTTGATACTCCGAATTTGGTCTACCTAGAATATTCTGATGCTATTGTGGACAGGTATAAACAGGTGAGTTTTGACTCGCTTGTCGAAGCTAATCTCAGACTTCGAAAAGCACCTAATCAGACTGAAACAGACAAGACTAATGTAACAAAGCTTCTCACGGGAATACGCAATGTTAGAATTCTCTACTTGACTGATGACTCTCTTAAGGTTAGTACAATCTTTGTTTAAATACTACTTTTGTTTCTCTGTTAGTAGAGCAATTATTAAGGGCTTGAGTTGGCTAATAATCATATATCACAACTGAGTGATGCTGCAATTTGATTTGGTTTGTGTTTCAGGTACTTTCTTGCTGCCGAGAAAGACTACCTGTGTTCAACAACCTAATTGAGTTAACTATTAAGACTACACCATATGTAGGATGGAAATTATTGCCACCTCTACTCAAGAGTTGTCCAAGTCTAGAAACCCTTGTCTTTGAAGTACTATTACACATCCTTTACATTAATTGCTAACACGGTTTTGAACACACATTTTTACTGGACTTTTTTCTATGTTTCAGGGACTGCATCACAAAGATTCCAATAGATGTGGGGACAAGGACGGATGCTTGTGCCAATATGATAATAATTGGGGGGTGAAGATGGATGTCCGCACTTGTCTATCATCAAGTCCGGTTAAGGTTGTAAAGATATTGAAGTTTGGTGAAACTTTTGATGGTGATGATGATGACGATGATGATGATGATGATGATGATGATGAAGATGTTGGGTCTTGTGATGATGTTGCCGATGTTGTAGAGGAGCAGATAGAGCATGTCAAGCACTTCATAGAGAAAATGCCGGATCTTGAACAAGTAATACTGTACTACGATACACCAAATGATCAAGATGTGATGAAAGTATTCAAGAAACTTCAGATGCTTCCTCGAGTAGCTTCAGCTAATTGCAATGTCCAGATAAAATCAAAGAATCTCAGCTTGACATCTACTTCGACTAAACGAGGTACTCTTCTTTAGAAGATTCTTCTTGTGGTTTCTCAGCCATGGTTAATGTCTCAGGCTACAAGTTTGCTTAGCTGCAAAAAGATCTAAACTCAAATGTCTCAGGCTACAAGTTTGCTTAGCTGCCTTTTGTTCTTCTCTAATGACTTGAATAATGTTTGTTTTTCTCTTTTGACTGAGAATGTTGGTTATCTTTTGTTCAGTCTTTCTTCTTCTCTTCCTTGAATGAAATTTAGTACTCGTTTGTTTTCTTCTTGCACATGATCACATTTTGTTGTTCTAAGATAAAGATCTGGTTCTATTAGTTGGTCTCAGCCACGGCTATATTAGCGTTCTGAAAGAATTGACTCATTCGTGAATCAGATATTGAAACTATGAACATGATTCTCTTTGTTCCAAGCTTTCTTTAAGAGTCCTTTTGATTCGCAAGTCAAAGTTAAAATACAGTCTCGAGAGGGAGCGAGAGATTTGGAACATTGATAGTGTGTACTGGTTTTATGGCTTCGCTCTAAGGTCATAATAGTGTAAACGTTTAGAGGTACATAGCTTGGTCTCAATAACTGCACTTGCTTAATCTGCACAGTTGTACATAGCTTGGTCTCCTATTTTACAATTAGTCAAGCAAACAAAGATCACTATACAAGTTGAAGAAATACCGAACCACACATAACCATCCAAATAGACAAAGTAACTTATTCGGCCATTAACAGTTTATTAACTGATCCATATTTTCAAATAGATCTTCTCTTCTGCAGATGGCTAAACAAGCCAGTCTAAAGCCAAAAAACATAGGAATCACACGTGTCAACACTGCTTAAAGACCACCGCTTCAACTACACCCACCATAAAGTAAAGTAAGTAGTAATCCACACTTTTTTATGCGACCCTTCAGAAACCAGGTGACTTTACAAACACACGAAGACAAAACCAGAGGATTTCAAAAGACCCTAATCATGTGAAAACTCAATCGTTTTCTGTTTTTTTTTGGTTGGGCTCTGCTTTGGTTCTTGAGTAAGTTTTCTAAATTTTCTTCTTATGGCCTCACTTTTCTTGTCCATTTGTCATCTGTTGTGGTTAAGTGTTTGTTATTTGGAATCATGTTGTTTCGAGTTTCTTACCGGACTTTCATGTCTTTGTTCAGGTTATATAACTTCTAAGTGTGGTTGTTTTGTATCTGCCACAAAATGAAATCGAAAAATAAAAAGAAGGTTGTTGATGGTTCTAGAGATTTAATCAGCGGTTTACCAGATGCAATGCTTTGTCACATCTTATCATTCCTTCCAACTAAAGAAGCTGCTTCAACTACTGCTCTTGCCAAAAGGTGGAGACCTTTGCTTGCTTTTGTACCAAATCTTGACTTTGATGACTCCATCTTTCCCCATCCTCGAGAGAGTGAAAGTGTTATGGCTTTTGTGGATAACGTATTGGCTTTGCAAGAGAATGCTACGTTGAAAAGATTCCACCTTAAGTGTAAAGATGTCGTTGATGGCTACCGGGTGTTGGATTGGTTACCAAAAGTTTTGAAACGTGATGTGTTAGATATTGATCTACACATCCCTTCGCCTTGCGGTTTTTGTTCCAAGTCGAGTTTTTACCCTCCTCTGCCTTCAGAGATCTTTGTGAGTAAGACATTGGTTAGGCTGAAAATACAGTTTAAGAATGGCGTCAGCATTAATGTGGAAGGTGATGTTTCTCTTCCGAATCTTAAGACCCTTCATCTTGATTCTTTCAAGATAGATACTAGAATGTTTAACAAGCTTCTTTCTGGCTGTCACGTGCTCGAAGAATTAGTGCTGGTTAAGTTGATGTGGGACGAGTCTGTGGAACCTGGAACTTGCTTCGTGACCGTGTCTATCCCAACCCTCAAGAGACTATTGTTTTCTCGTTTTCAGTATTTTGATGAGGATGAAGATTCTGTTGAAGCTACAGATTTTAACGAGAGTGTGTCATTTTCATTTCATAATTCAAATCTGGTCTACCTGAAGTACTCGGATACTATCGCTGGCAGGTATCAACAAGTGAGTTTTGACTCGCTTGTTGAAGCTAAACTCAAACTTAGGAAGACATCAGGCCAGACTGAAAAGGACAAGGTTAATGTAACAAAGCTTCTCATGGGAATATGCAATGTCAAGATTCTCTACTTGTCTTATTTCACTCTTAAGGTTAGTCATCAGATCTTTCTCCTAAAATTTTAATTTCTACTCAGATATTGACTATTCTAGCCTCTGTTTGAGTTGATGTTCACAATTCACAAGTTGATCAGTGAATTATATACATAGTTGGTTTGGTTTTTGTTTCAGGTACTTGGTTGCTGCAGTGAAACAATGCCAATATTCGAGAATCTGATTCAGTTAACTATCAAGACTGCACTAGATGTAGGATGGGAATCATTACCACCTGTACTCAACAATTGTCCAAATCTACAAACTCTTGTCTTCGATGTAACATATACAACCTTTAAATAAACTATAATTAAGACACTCACAAATTAGATTTTGATATCTGATTATCTTATGTTTCAGGGACTGCATCACAAATATACAGTTAAATGTGGGGACGAGGAAGGGTGCGTCTGCGAAGGTCAGGATGATTTTGGGGTGGAGGAGGATATTAATACTTGCCTATCATCAAGTCCGGTGAAGGTTATAAAGATATTTAACTTTGGTGAAATTTGTTATGTGGAAGAAGACATAGATGACCAGATAAAGCAGGTCATACAATTCCTAGAGACAATGCCAAATCTTGAACAAGTGATAGTGTACTACAATACACCAAATGATGAAGATGTGATGGAACTATGCAAGCAACTTCAAGAGCTTCCTAAAGTGGGATCAGCTAAATGTGAGGTCCAAATCATTTCTGATATCCCCAACCTATCATGTACTATCTCCATGAGAAAGGCTACTCCTTTTTTGGTTTCTCAGCCATGAACATGAACATGTTTCAGGCTAAAAAACTCTAAAACTCTGTTTCAATTCGACTGTATGGTTCTTTTCTTGTTTTGTTGCTTTTGTGTTATTGCTCTCTCCTTTGGACTGAGAATGTTGAATATCTTTTGTTTGTCTCTCTTCTTCTTGTCTATTGAACAAAACTAGGAGTCCTTTTTTTTCTTTTCTTGTAATGGATTATAGTTTCTTGATAATATCGAGTTAACTATACTATTGATTAGAAAATAAGAGGACTAGTAAAAACAAAAGTAGTAACTCGACGGTGAGCTTCCGATAGTTCCAAGCCGTGTAGGACTCCGGACAATTTCTAGAATCTTAGCGCTTGATTGATTTGTTTCCTCTGTGTAATGGGTTTGATTGACTGAGAGAGAAAGGAATGAGAAGAAGAAGAAGAAGAAGAATAAGACTTCGTTTCTACTTTTTGGGTGTCCACAAAATTCATCGGAAACCCTAAAGTTTGTTTCTATTGATATAAAATAAAATAAAAAGAAGTTGAAGCTTGCAGCACACGAAACATAGAGTCACACGTGTCATCCCCAGGAGTACAACACTTCCCAAAAACCACCACTTCAACTTCACCGCCAGGAGTACAACACGGGATGGGTTCTTGCTGAGCCAAGATCAGATCATTCTCTGAGCCTTTCTGTCCATTTAACTACCATTGACCTTCCAAATGTATCAAGGGGACAAGACACTTTTGAATGGGAAGTGGATGGTAGAATTTGTGAAGGTTTTGATGCTTCAAGAACTTGGTCCTCTTTAAGACCGAGGGAAGAGGAAGTGCGATGGGCAAATCTGGTTTGGTTTAAAGGGGCTACTCCTAAACACGCTTTCACCATGTGGATTGCCAACCTAAATCGGTTGCCAACAAAATCTAGGCTGGAAAACTGGGGCATGCAAATTAACTCTATGTGTGACTTCTGCTCCCTGCACAAGGAGACAAGAGATCATCTTCTCTTGACTTGTGATTTTGCTTTTGATAACGAAAAACGTAGTTATCGATTTAATCCAAATCACAAACACCAAATTGAATCGTCGTTCATGAAACGAGAATCCAAATCTCACAAGCTTGAGCATAGATAGAAGAAACAGCTCAGCAAGATGAGTACAACACCATGATCACAGAGTTAAGAAACTAAGAAGAAGAAGAAGAAGATAACAACTATCAATAATTTTCTGATTAATTTTCACAACTGATCTTTTTTTCTCCTTATACGCTTCAGCTCACGATCTAACTCTTCTTCTATCAAACCACAGCCAATAAACGTCTCCCACGTGTCCAGCAACTTGTTTCCTTCTCACGTGCCACACGTGCCATTCTTCTTATCTCTTTTCCTGTATCAGCTTTGTCTCTTTGGCATAGGGTGAGCTTAAGACTTGACCGTTCTCCCTTGAACTTTCATTCATGGCCAACGCTTCTTACTTGGATGGAATCTACTAACTCGGGCTCCCCATCTACGTTGCGCAAACTTACGGCTCAAGCAGTCATTTATGCTATATGGAAACAGCGGAACAACTTGCACCACAACCAAACCCATGTGCTGCCTTCTCAGATCTTCAAACAGATTGACCGTGAAATCAAAAACTCAATCACTGCCAGACAATACAATAAGCAATTCAAAAAGCTTATGAGTCATTGGCTGCACTGATCTGGTTTATCTTCTGGGCTGCTTTGCTTTCTTGTTTTTTCTAGTTTTTGCCAAGAAACCAACTTTTGTAAGGTTACACTATCTTGTAAAACCAAACTCTTTCATTTATATGAATATTTGCATTTTAGCAAAAAAAAAAGTAATAGTTTTGTAGTGTATTTGTCACTGTTTCGTTCTTAGCATTTCTTTTTCTTTTTTGTTCTCCGTTGTCTCTGATGTGGTTTAGTGTTTCATAGATACTTCAAAGACCTTGTTTGTTATGTGGAATCATATTATTTCGAATATCTTACGAGAAGTTACATGTCTTTGTTCAGGTTATAACTTGTAAGTGTGGTTGTTCTGTATCTGTCACAAAAATGAAATCGAAAAAGAAAAAGAATGTTGTTGATGGTTCTAGAGATATAATCAGCGGTTTACCATACGCAATGCTTTGTCACATCTTATCATTCCTTCCAACTAAAGAAGCTGCTTCAACTACTGCTCTTTCCAAAAGGTGGAAGCCTTTGCTTGCTTTTGTACCAAATCTTGACTTTGATGACTCCATCTATTTCTATCCTCGAGAGAGTAACAAGTATTCTGAACGTTTTGAAAGTTTTATGAGTTTCGTGGACGGTGTCTTGGCTTTTGCAAGCGAAAGCTAAATCCCCGTTGAACAGATTCCAAGTCAAGTGTAAAGATGTTGTTGATCAATATTGGGTTCTTGAATGGATACAAAAAGTGCTGAAACGTGGTGTGTTAGATATTGATCTTCGCATCCCTACGTCTCTTGGTTATTGTTCGAGATCGAATTTTTATCCTCTGCCTTCTAAGATATTTATGAGCAAGACATTGGTGAGGCTAAAGATCGAGTTTGAAGATGGTGTCAACTTTTCTGTAGATGGTGATGTTTCTCTTCCGAAGCTCAAGATTTTATATCTTGATTATTTTCAGACAGATACCATCACGTTCAACAAGCTTGTGTCTGGTTGTCACGTGCTCGAAGAATTAGTGTTGGTTAATTTGAAGTGGAACTGGAACTATTTGGATCCTATGCCTGGCTACCTGACTTTGTCTATACCAGACTAAAGTTTTGTCGTTCTGAAACCTTTTATGAGGTTGAAGATGTTGATGAGGCTAATGAGAATGTGCAACTATTATTTGATAATCCAAATCTGGTTCACCTAGAATATTCTGATAGTATGGCCGATAGGTATCGAGAAGTGAGTTTTGATTCGCTTGTTGAAGCTAGTGTCGGACTTCGATTGACACCTGATCAGATCGTACATGTAACATGTTCATCAGAAGATAACTTGGAACCCGAAGACGAGATTAATTTGAAAAATCTTCTCATGGGAATATGCAATGTTAAGATCCTCTTCTTGTCTTGTGACACTCTTAAGGCCAGTCCCATTTTTCTTCTCTTAATCTTTTTTTAGTATGCTACAATTGACAAGTTGGTGATGATATTGTTGATATGGATAATTTTTATTACAGGTACTCAATTACTGCAGTGAAACAATACCTGTATTCAACAGCCTGATGCAGTTGACAGTTGAACCATGCGTAGAATGGGAATCACTGTCAGCTCTACTCAAGAACTGTCCAAATCTAGAAACCCTCATCTTCCAAGTAACATACACATTCTTGACATTAACAACCTAACACACTTTACACACAATTGGTTTTGTTGAAACTGATTCCATTATGTTTCAGGGACTGCAACACATATTTGGAGATAAATGTGAGGACGAGGACGGGTGCTTGTGCAAATGTCCAGATGATTCCTTGGGAACTGTCGTTCGTAATTGTCTAGTATCAAGTCCGGTGAAGGTTCTTAAGATATTGAAGTTTCGTGAAAACTGTGATATCGATGAGATAGAGGAGCAGATAGAACATGTCAAGCACTTCCTAGAGACAATGCCGAATCTTGAGAATGTGACATTGTACTACAATACACCAGATGGTGAAGATGTAATGAAAGTATGCAAGCAACTTCAGAAGATCCGTAGAGTAGCTTCAGCCAAGTGCAATGTCCAAATAATCTCAGACAACCTCAGCTTATCATCTACTATGTTGACCAAAAGAGGAAGAAGATATTTTTCTGGTTTCAAAAAGCTTAAATAACCTCAGTTTTGTTGTAAAGTTGCTAAAAGATCGATCGCGTTCCAAGATTCTCTTATGTCTTTTATTTGTTGTTCCTTTGATAACTCTCTTCTTCTTCTTTTACTTTATTTTTGGTTTTATAACTTGTGTCATTGTTTTCTCCTTTTGACTTACAATGGTGAATAATCTTTTGTTAAGAGAATTAGCACTCATTGTTCTCTTCTTGTAATGGATCACAGTTTCTTTATTACAGTGAGTTAACAAAATTAGCCACGTTAGTGCATCTGTGCATGTAAAGAGTATCAATACAAATTGAAACCTGCAAGAATGATCTAGGGAATCAAGCTGAAAAGTGAAATTTTGATCAAGAAACAGAGCAAAACAGAACAAATAATTACATCTTTTGATCAAGAAACAGAGCAAAAGAGAACAAACAATGACATAGTATCACATCTTTTTTAAATTACACATTTAGGAAAAAAAAGAAATACATTTAGAGGAAAGTTCAACAACTGACATGAACACCTCCTGCTAACTCCAAAAAAAAAAAGAAAAATACATTATATGAAACGTGACACTTGAATCCATTAGATTGTTTACTTGTTGCCACAAATACATCTGTCATTCAAACACTTTGAGAAATGTATATTGGCTTTTTTAATCATCTTCTATTGAATTTATTAAACCATTTTCACATATCTTTTACATTCACTGGTTACCCTTTGATTATGGGGAATTAGGTGGAATAAGTAACCCAAGAGAGAAGAAGAACCAAAAAAGAAAAAAAGAAATAGACATATCAATTTTTAAAAATCAAATTCCATAAACAAGAATAGAATTGTTAACAGTTGTTCATACCTTACAACATGTTACATGAGTACATATTATAATGTCCATAAGACCAGCATCAACATCACAGCATGGACGACAATAAATCATCAATAACATATGTTTTTTGTGCATATGAACATTAAAAATACGCATATTTGTTTAAAATACTGAATTTAAAATATCAAAAATGGCAAAAAAATATATATATAAAAAATGTATAAATCTCAAGAGAAATGTCTATAGATAGATTATTTGGACATCAATTTCCGTAGATTCAAAGCAAAACGTATAAATTTTAGTTTTTAGTATCAATGTTTTAGGTATAGAGGAGACATATCTCATCAAAACATCAACGTTACTGAAGACGTTGCAATGCATTAAATAAAAAAAACAAAGGTGTATGTATACTATATACTATTCATTTATAAGGAACACTATAATTGACTTATCACATAGACCCTACTTCATGTCGCGCAAACATCACGAAATTTATAACACAAATTCATATTTTAACTTTTATATATACATGTATGTAGTGGTTAACACAATTTCATTACATAAAAAGAATAATTAATGTGCATAATAAATAAAACGCGCACACATAGTGTGAGTCCATACCTAATTTTCTCAATACTCACCATGAAAATGACATTCTTCTATTTTTCAACTTTTTAACACAACACCCGTCACGTAGGTTCTTTTATAGCCAATACTATTATTATTGTTACGCATCATATTCTAAAAGGTAGATCAACCTAATTAAACTAACACGGTTACTATATACGTATACGTTATATCATAAATGCATCAAAACTTTTTACATTCAACACAATTATTCATTTCCAAAATGTTTATTTTACAACAAACAAAAAAAGGAAAAGAAGACTCTAATTAATCTCATAAGTCATCATAACATGTTTATGATATAGATAGATATTAATTTATATCAAATACACGACGTAATTAATGTAATGTAATGTAATTAGATTATGATTATGATATTATAATTCAAGCACATGAAATACCAACGACTCGACTCGCCGGGAATCTCTCGGACACGGTTTTCCTAACGAGAGAGTTGATCTCAGGGCTCACTGCTTCCTTCTCCGTTGACTCTGGAATAGTTGTCAACGAACCTGATTTATCATAAACGACGTAGTATCGTTCTTTATCTCCTCCCCCTCCGCCTCGACCCAACGCCTTGTAGACCGGAGAAGAAGGAGTACTGCTCGAGCTTTGTTGCTGTTTAGGTTTGAAAACTGACTTCAAGAACCTCTGGAGAGAACGAGAGATCTTGTTCGAGTGTTTCTTGACCCCCGAGGAGGAGGAGGAAGAAGAAGAAGTTGTCGGCAGTGGAGGATTCTCCGGTGAGAGTGAGCTGATGAGAGGAGGGAGACGGCGGTCGGGGAGGCGAGACATGGACATAGTTCTGGCGGAGGAAGCTGAGATGGCTGAGTCGAGTTGACGTTTGAATGAGTTGAGCTCGAACGAGTCGTAGAGACTGCTCCCACAGTCCCATACGTGTGATGAACTCGTCTTCTTGTGCTTATTCATCATGTTAGAAACATTATTATTATGATTCTCTTCCTTTTTGGTGATCTTTTGACTCGTAAAGTTTTTTTCTGCAAAATATATATATTGCATAAATATATAAAGTATATGACTAGAGATAGAGATAATCTATGTTCTCAACAAATGAAAAGTAAAAACTGAAGAAAGAGAAATTGCTATATTTATATATAGTTTTCATCCAAATTTCTAAGATTTGGTAAAAATATAAGACAAATCTTGAAAGGGGTTTTATACATTATTTTGACTAAATTGTTTTATGTATATATAATTTAGTTGGTTCCAAATATGAAGTGGTTATACCAAAAGAAGAAAGAAGATGATAATATATATATAAAGGGAACAAATTAAAGATCAGAAACTTACCAATTTCCAACTTCTTATGCATCTCAAGTGATGTTGTTGATGATGATGATGATGATGATGGTGACTCTGTAATCTTAGAATCAGCTTGTCTAGTTTCTTCATCTTGGCTTTGTTTTGACTCACCATCCAAGATCTTCATAGTTTCTTGTTCTTTACTACTAACCTCCTCATGATCTGACTCTTGACCAATCACCACACAGTCTTTCATCTTCTTCATCTTAATATCATCCTCCTCTTTAGTTGCCATCATCGTCGTTGGTTTGACTTTGATCTCCATCTCTTAATATTTTTTCGTACCAAAAAGAAGAAAATGAATGACACAAATTGATCTAATCTCGAAAATCTGTATGTTTACCAATAAGTCTAAGGGAAATGGAAGGCTGTGAGTTGTGATCTTTGGTGGTTGTTACGTATTGATGGTTGTATATATGTATGGAGAGAAGAGAGAGAGAAGTGGGTACTTGGTGGTGAATTATGAATGGTCTCTTTGCTTATGAGCTTCACGGTCTGCGTTCACTTCTTTTATGTATATGTACGTGAAGATATTGCAATTAATGCTTCTTACTTGATTAAACACTTAATCCCCACGATAATGACGTTCTTAGTGAAAGCTAAAAATTTCTATGTTTTTGGTCCAAGTTGTTTTGGCTCATCATGTGGTCAAATTTAGCTTTTATTAATGATGAAAGTTTCTCAACTAATTTTGAACTGACCGTAATTTCGTAGGAGTTATGCAAGTCACAAAGCTGAATTTACATTATAAATATACATGTTTAGAGTAATTTGATAGATAAGTTTGACCCATAAGCTCAAAAAATATTAGGTGAATAGATGATTAAAAATCATTAAATGATCAGGAAAGTGAGAGGAGATATCATATATATATATATATACATGTACGCGTATCCGAGCTTGGTGGAATTTTCACGTGGCTATATAATGTAATTTGATATAGTATACTAAAAAAAAAATAAGTAGTTTTAATCCACACATATATACGTAGTTTTACATTCATAATTTATTAACAACATTGATATAATTTATTTTATGAAGATATTTTTTTGGCTGTTTTAAAGTTTTCATGTATGTTTAATATATTATAAACGAGTTTTAACTCTTTTTATCTATGTTGCAATGGAGACATGTAGCAAACAAAAGAAACAACGAGTTAGGTTCTTGTACGTTGACTAATCGTGCTCGTTCCTAATCTTATCACGTAAAACCTTAGACATATTTAATACTAAATCACTACTAATACAGTACATCACATTGATAAATAAATAAAAATACTATATAGTAGTACTAATTTATATATAGTACATGTTATTGTCCCCACGTCAATTTAATTTGTCATTTATGATGAAGATCCTCAAATCATATCTCTCAAATATGATATTATACACAACACATATATATATATATATATGTAGATGAGATCGTCTTGTGGCCCTCTCTAGTAGTTCCCTACTTTAAGCAAACCATTTCTTCAAACTTTCTAGTAAATAATGAAAATTATATGGGTTATAAACTCATAATAACTCATAAATATACGACCCTTTCTTGAAACCATTTCTTGACACCTTTTTAACAAAATAATGAAAATATAGTGTATATGGGTCATAATAACTCATAAATATACGATTGCCATATATAGTTTACAAGGACCATTCCTACCTTTTCAAACTTCTTTTTCTTAGTATCAAACAGTGTTAAGTTTATACTGGTACTAGTATATAGTTTGGATGCGTAACTACATACGTGCATAACCAAAACTGGAACTTTTGTTTTCTCGATATTGCTAGTTAATTTCACACTACAAGATCATCTTTATATAAACCTATCAACTATCATGCGGATGGATTTTGGAGTCTTGATCGACCAAGTTCCCAAAATTACGGTGAAATAAACAGACGAAAAAAAAAACAAATCAATCATTTCACCAATATAAACAGCCAATATAATAATACAAAGTTTAGTATTCAATCTCAAGAACAATAGTTTTTGTAAGTTGACACGTGTCGTTATCTTTATCCCACTAAACTCTTCGTATTCCGTTTAAAGTCAATAATAAATGGGTTCCTATACTCAACTGAGCCTATTAAGAAGAAGAAGACTAAAGGGCATTTCACTACGGTTAAAACTCATATATATATCTCCTAAATTAATTAACCTGTATCACTTCCATTTTCATTCTTGAGTGAAGAAGCTTAATCGATATGGCGAGTGCCTCAAGGGATGAAGATGATTCGAGAGAGATTCACATTCACAAGAAGCAACGAACAAATGAAAAAACATCTTCTACCATGATGTATCTTGATGTTCTACATTGTCATGTCTGCTTCAAGCCACTCACTGTTCCTATCTTCCAGGTTACGTTTCTTATCAATTCCTTTTTTCTTTGGAATTGTGACCACTTTAGATCTAAAGGCCGAGACTTTATAATTAAATGTTACAATCTTTAGGTTACAGATCTATCTTCTTGTTCTATGGCTGGTTAGTTGATATAATAAAAGTCTAAAGTTGAAAATGTTTTGTTAGGGTTTTTCTTGAAATCTTGTTTTGATTGTCATTTATTTCATTGGTTTATTTGGCAGTGTGGTGAAGGGCACTTGGCTTGCTCTTCTTGCTGTCCAAAACTGAGTAATAAGTGCCATGCATGTGCTTTGCCTTTTGGAAAAAACCGTTGCATAGCAATGGAGAGAGTTCTTGAATCAATGTGTGTTCCATGCCCAAATGCCAAGTATGGTTGTACTGCAAAGTTGTCTTATTGGAAAAAACAAAGTCATGTAAAGGAATGCAATTTCCCTCGCTGCTCATGCCCTGCATTGGGATGTGATTACACTGGCCCCTACAAGGATCTCTACCAACATTTTCTTGATACTACCACGTCTGGTGTCTTCACTTGTGGCAAATACTTTGATGTCCGTATCAACATCAAAGATAAGGTTTGTGTTATTAAAAGGGAGTGTAAAGAGCGCCTATTGTTTGCAGTGCAGTGTTTTAAGGAGACGGATGATGTGTGTGTAAATGTAAGTATCATTGCACCAGCAACTCTTGAAGTAGGAGAGTTCTCATATCATATCGCACTCCCCTACATTGTGGATGGGAAACCTATGACGAGTCACGAATTTACAGTGACGAGAATTCTTGAATGCTTCGAAAGACCTCAAGCGGGTAACATATGGATCTGCCACAGTTTATTGCGTGGTGAACGGTTGGAGATGAAGCTTTGCATCGAGAAGTTGAACTAAGAGTAAGAATCTTGGGGTAATGTAGAACAGTAGAAGAAGCTCCTTTTGATTTTGTGTTTGGTAGTATTTGTGTAAACTTGCTCTATCTCTTATGTTTTCTCTGTAATATAAGCTTTTGGCCTGATGAATTAAGATCAGATCCTAGTGGTTTTGATTTAACAATGTTTCAGTTTAGAGTTGATTTTGTTGGGTCAAGGTAGAGATGTGAGGATTGTAACTCGTTTGGTTTTGCATTTTGTATGATTTTGGATATTTTCATTTGGTGGAATCGACTCAAACAATGCATGTACATGTGTAACAAGCCACAAGAAAGAAAAAAAGTATGTCTACGTGTTTTGTCATACTATCGTAAGCATCTAATCAACAACTTCACTGCTAAACAACTTGAACTTATTAGCATCAAGAACAAGTTTCCTAACGGAGGAGAAAGCTCCCATGAGTCCCGCACAAGTGAACACAACCATTATCGTCATGTTTATCCAGTATGTGAAGCTCCGTTTCGTTGGCTTATAGGTCATGTTGTAGAGAAGCATTGGCAGCACGAAATCTAGTGGGATAAACCCAAACGCTCCTACCACCGCGTTTATATCCCCAAAGAACGGTAGCATCGCTGCCATGAATCCGCAAAACGCCATATATAGACTTCTTAGTATCAATCGAGGCACAAGGTTGCGCTTTGAGAATATCCCTTTTGTTGTATCCGCTGATTTCTTCTCCATTATCTCATAAGCAACTTGAGAATACACCTAACCAATTACCGAAAACAAGAAACATTTTTAAACGTTAAGTCACTCGTCTCACAGCCAAGTCACCTCCTATACGTTGATACTAGTTAAACTTACAAGGCCAATGGCGAAAAGCTGAAGAAGAACAAAGATGACCGCTAAGCCAATCACCACAATAGGAGCCAGAGTCGGTCCTTCATCAGGCATCAAGTTCTTGAGAATATTAGAGCTCGAATTTTTACCAAAAACCCAATATCCAGAAACAGCAGCAGAGTAAAACGTGAAGAAGATCACGCTATAACACAACAATAGTCCTTTCAACATCTTCCCTGTGGCTGGTGGAGCAAGAGTTGCCTGCATAGATATATAATTATCACATAAACCACAAGCTCATAATAACATATATAATCTTTTGAATGAATAAATTCCTAACATATCTCACCTGTATTTCGGGTAATATTCCATTCCCGAAAATAGCAGCTATGATCGAAATCGATGTGAATGCACTGAAAACTTTCCCTGAATCCGAATGCTCTAGAGAATAGTCACGTTTAGGAGCATTTTTAGACAAACCTGTGGAAACCAAAACATTAGTAGTAGTAGTAGTAGTAGCTGTTGTGTCTTCCATAAATGTAAAAAACCATCCTACCTAGGTTAATACAAGCCCCAACGACGAGGAAAGTGTAACCTAAGCTGAGAAGCAAAGACACAAAGTTAATGTGTCTAAGAGAGTGAAAACTTGGGAGCTGAGACAAAACAATCATCACAGCAGTGACCATAGCAATGAACTCGTAAAGCTTCAAGGATCCTTGTGGGTAAAGACTCGAGTACATTATCTGTTTAGTAACAAAAACAAAAACAGAGGAAGAGGGATTAAACTAAACAATGACCATCACAGTTTCTTAGTTCCTTGTTTAACAAGTAATCTTAATAACTTACATCAAGACATTGACCAGCGAGAAGAATGGCACCAATACCAATTCCAGTGTTGATAGCTGTTTGAATAAAGATGACTACATAGAACATCCATCCAGATCCTGCAACCACAAGAAATAACCGGTTCAAAATCCAAAAACCGGTTAGGTAAACCATGACATCAGATAAAAGCCAAAACCGAGACACGTGCGGGTGAACCCAAATCTAACAAGCAAGAAGGTCAAAGTATCCAAGTCGATCCAATCTTTACGGATTTTACCCAAAAATAAACTAAAAAACAAAAGAAAAGATTTGCAGAGAGAGATGATAATATTCACCAAGAACATCGGCGGCGAGTTCCCGGAAACGGATGTGACGGCGGCCGGATTTTTCACAGTGATCAAGAACCTTAGACATGAGGTAATAAGCGTAGAAAGTGACGAGACCCATAGTCGTCAAACAAAAAAACCCTAACCACCATCCTAATCCTCTGAAAGCGTTAGGTAATGTCAATATCGTCGGACCTACGATCGCCGTCGTTAGATGAAACCCGGCGTGCCACCACTCGCCTGAGAATTTTTATTTACAAAAATAAGTTATTAAAAATTCCAAAAATTCACGGAGATATTTGAATTCATCAGTATATTGAAGGATCGGAGAAGTGTAATAATAAAAAAAACCTTTAGATTGGAGGACGAAGAGAGCACCGGCGTCGGATTCGAGTCGGGTAACAGGAAACGGGTCGGGTCTAGGAGGATCCGTCATTGACAGAATTTAGTTAACAACAACAACACAGGAAACAAGAGAAGAAGATTCTTCTTCTGGGAATTATATATGGAATTGATGATGATGATGATGATGATGGAGAGCACGGGTGAAGGAAGGTGATGGAGTTTTTGAGCGCATGTTAGCTGGTGATAGTCATCGTTTGCTAATTTATATATAAAATATGTGTTTTTTTAAATTCCGTTTGTTTCTTTAAAGAAGATAAACACCAACCTGTCACAGTGGGAAAACGAGACATAATTTGCATTTTCCCCCTTTATTCGGATTTGCTCTTTTTTTCCCATGTATTTATCATCATAAGCAAAAATAATACTTTTCCACTTACGTTACGTGTGTTTATTTGAGATTTTGTATTACAAAAAATGACAGAATTTTAAAAATAATAATACAGGAAATATGTTATATGGAAACAAATTTCAAATTGGTGTTCATCACAGAGTATATTTTATTTAAATTGTAATGAATTTTGATTTTAAGTGTATCTTGAAGAATTAATTAAATATATTAAATAATTTCAAATTTGTAAAAACATGATTATCACTAAGTTCAATATATCTTTATCACTAATTTTATAGGAGCGAGTAGAGGTTAATAAACTCATTAAACAGGTAGATAGACTTTTAATAAGTTTAAGAATAAAGATATTGCCATTTGTACTTTATTTTGTATTAACCTCGATTTAGGAAATATCAAACTTGTTTTGGAATTGATTTGATCTAACATCACCTACCCGTCTTGCTCTGGCTGACTATTTTTTTTTTTGTTTATCATTCACATGGCTGACTTTTTTGGTATGCACAAAAAAAACACTAGGAATTCAAAATAAAAAGGAAACCAAAACTAAAATATAGTTCACATTAGAGATATTTAAGTCGAGATACAGCTCACTGTTACTGCAAAAACTCTGCAAGATTCTAAGCCATGTATTTCATTTTTTGTCAATGAAATTGATATAACGAATACCAAACAATTCACTATACCAAACAACATGCATTAACGTTCTTCTATACAAAATCCCATTTGTGTGAAACTGTGAATCCCTTTATTCCCTCCCATAAAAACCACCACTTTGCTCACAATAAAAAAACCAAATTGACTTAAAAAAAAAAAAAAATCAACAAAAGTTACACAAACCAATAAAAACTGCACCGACACAAATACACAAAATGTACCCAACCAAAAATATAAACTTCTCGACCTTGATTGATCCAATCCCAAAACCTTATAACCACATATCTAACATAGTGTCCGCAAACATCGATGTGAGGTGAACTCAGACTTGTGGGGAGAAGAAGAACAACGTACCCGTGGAGCACGATCCCTTAAGCTCGCTGCGACACTCTTTGGCCTCGAGCTACAACAGTCTTTGACAAAACCTCCTCAAGATATTCGCAACGACTTCTGTGGTGATCGATCCAAACACATAACTGTCTTATCGCTTCTCTTTTCTCTTCTCCTAGTCCCGTCAAAGTCTCTTTCATCATCTCCTTCTCTTTTTCATCTTCTTTTACTTTTCCTCCAAGCTTCTTTATTTCTTCATCTTTCTTCTCTATCTCTTTCTTCATCTTCTCCTTCTCGTGGTTTCTCTCTATCACCCAATTCGTGGCGGTCCACAGTATTTTCGATGCCTCCATTACCGTTTTCTCGTATCTCCCCTGTTTCTCCGTGAGTTTTCCCGACATGGATTGAAACCCATCTACTGTTATGTTCACTTTATCTGCTATCTCTTTGATCATACCTCTGTATGTCTCGTGTGTCACCGTGAGAGTTTTCTCATGCAATGCTTGCTCCTCTAAGTGCTTAGCCTCTTCTTTCCTGAAAGCTTCTTCCTTCTCCGTTAGTACCTGTTCGGTTACTCTCAGTTTCTGGTTGGACAAACGTAGTTTAACCTCGATGTTACTGATCTTCTCCATGAGAGTTTCAATCTCGTCTACTTTCATTTCCAGTTCGTTACGTAAACTCTCCATTGTCTCTTCATGACCCACGATTGCAAAATCTCTGGATGTTACTTCCTTACCTCTCTCCTCCAATGATCTTTGAGCTTCTTTGTAATCCTCTGTTAGCTTATTGAGTGCTGCTTCACATTCTTTGAACAGTCCGTTGATCTGCTTGTGTTCCTCTTTTAGCTTATTGTAAGCAGCTTCTTGCTCTACCAATGCTTTCTGGACATCGGTGATCTGATTCGACAATTCTGATTTCTCTTGCTTCTCTCTATCAAGTTCTGCTTCGGTTTCACTCTTCTGCAACTGTAGAGAATCAAGCTCATGTTTCAGATTGTTAATCTGTTCTGTTAAGGCCGTTGCTTCAGAAGATGCTTCGTTGATCTTATCATGCATTTGAACGTTCTCTTCTGTCCTTGTTCTCAGCTCCTCTTCAAGCTCACTTCTCTGTTTCTGTAGAGTTTCTAACTCAAGTTCAAGACCCTTAATCTTCTCAGATAAACCATTTCTTTCTTCTTGGATATTCTCGTGATCTTTAACCTTATGTACGATCTCCTCTTTTAGATTTGTAATCTGACTCAAATATTCAGAGATCTCCTCTGACTTCTTTTCAAGTTGGATCTCGAGTTCTGCTCTCTGGCTATCAAGTGAGGCCACTTGCTGTCTCAGACCATTGATCTCATCATCCAAACCCTTTATCTGCACTGAGGCTTCCTCGCTTTTGCACACCATTTGTTTCTCCAACTCTTCCTTTTGAACAGACATCGAATCTAGTTCTGCTCGTAGGCCGTCGACCGCAGCTGTCAAACTCTCAATTGAGGACAATGATTGCTTCTCGTTATTCTCAAGTTTTTGAGTTAAAGCTGAGAGTTCAGTTCCTCTCTCGTCCATTGATTTCTCAAGTTCTGAGACTCTAGCAACCATTTCTCTGTTTTGCGCTTCCAATTGCTCAACTGCAGTGGTCTTGCTTCCAATCTCTGTCTCAAGATCTGTAATACGGGAACGAGCGGATTCTAGTTCCCGCTTTAGTGTCACTACTGTTTCTTCTAATTCTTTTATTTGCACCTGTGATTTGCTGTCCTTCTCTGTCAGAAGTAAAAGCTCGCTTTCTTTCTCAGCGAGCTGTTCTTTCAGTTTGCTCGAATCAGCTGTGAGTTCCTGTACCATGATCTGTGCCTGTTCAAGCTCATCTGAGGTTACTGAGATTTTCATCGACATAGTTTTGCTTTCTTCTTCTGCAGCCTTCAGACTTTCACTCAATTCCGAAACCCTGTGTTCAGATGATTCAAGTCGTGCTTCTAAATCTCTTAACTGAGTGGACGATTCTCTCTGATGATTCTCATGGATATCCCTCAAGCTGAAAAGTTCATTGTCTTTCTCAGTGTGGCTCCCTTTTAATTGTTCGGACTCGGACATGAGTTCTTGTATGGTGCTCTCTGCCCGCTTGATCTCAGTAGACATTTCTGAAATTCTCTGAGATAACATTTTCTTCTCTTCCTCTGAACTGTTCAGCCTCTGATTCAAATTTTCAACCAGTTTCTCTGCTGATTCCACCCGTGCTTCTAATTCTTTAACCTGACTTGAGGAATCTCTCTTATGGGCCTCGTGTACCACCACCAAACTAGCAAGCTCACGCTCTTTTTGTATGTGTGTATCTTTAGACTCTGCCAATTCAGTCATAAGTTCCTGAACCCTGCTTTGGGCCTGTTTGAGCTCATCCTTCGTTTCCATTATGTTCGAGGATATGGACTTGTTTTCCTCTTCTGCAGCATGCAGACTGGCGCTCAAATCTACAACCCGTTGTTCTGATGATTTCAGTTGAGTTTCCAATTCACTCACTCGAGTGGATGATTCTCTTTGATGTGTCTCGTGGATGTCCCTCAAACTGAGAAGATCTCTCTCCTTTACACTGTGGCTCTCTTTCAACTGTCCAGACTCAGACATGAGTTCTTGTATCTCGTTAGAGAGTTCTACTATTTTCTGTGATAGCATTTTTTTCTCTTCCTCTGCATTGTTCAGACTTTGGTTCACTTCTGCAACCAATTTCTTTGATGATTCCACTTGCTCTTCTAATTCTTTCACATGACTCGACGAATTTCTCTGGTGAGCCTCGTATACCTCCACCAAACTAGAAAGTTCACTCTCTTTCTCTTTGTGTTGGCCTTTTAATTCTCCCAATTCAGCCATAAGTTCCTGGACCGTATTCTGAGTCTGTTCGAGCTTGTCCACAGTTTCCAAGTTTTTCGAGGAGATAGCTTTGATTTCTTCCTGTGCAGCTTCCAGACTCACACTCATATCTGAGACCTGCTGTTTTGAGGACTCCAGTTGAGCTTCTAATTCACTCACACGAGTGGATGATTCTCTTTGATGAGTCTCATGGATGTCCCTTAAACTGAAAAGATCTCTCTCCTTTACACTGTGGCTCTCTTTCAACTGTCCAGACTCAGACACGAGTTCTTGTATTTCGTTAGAGAGTTCTGCTATTTTCTGAGATAGCAGTTTTTTCTCTTCCTCTGCACTGTTCAGGCTTTGGTTCAAATCTGCAACCAATTTTTTTGATGATTCTACTTGCTCTTCTAATTCTTTCACATGACTTGATGAATCTCTCAGGTGAGTCTCGTGTGCCTCCACCAAACTAGAAAGCTCACTCTCTTTCTCTGTGTGGCTGTCTTTCAACTTTCCCAATTCAGTCATGAGTTCCTGTATCCTGTTCTGCGTCTGTTCGAGCTTGTCCATAGTTTCCAAGTTTTTCGAGGAGATAGCTTTGTTTTCCTCCTCTGCAGCTTTCAGACTCGCACTCAAATCTGAGACCTGCTGTTTTGAGGACTCCAGTTGAGCTTCTAATTCACTTGCTCTGGTGGATGAGTCTCTTTGATGAATCTCATGGATGTCCCTCAAACTGAAAAGTTCTCTCTCTTTCACACTGTGGCTCTCTTTCAACTGTCCAGACTCAGACATGAGTTCTTGTATGGTGTTCTGCGCCTCTTGAATCTCGTTAGAGATTTCTGCTATTTTCTGAGATAGCAGTTTATTCTCTTCCTCTGCATTGTTCAGGCTTTGGTTCAAATCTGCAACCAACTTCTCTGATGATTCTACTTGTGCTTCTAATTCTTTCACCTGACTCGATGATTCTCTCTCATGGGTCTGATGTAACTCCAACAAACTAGAATGCTCACTCTCTTTTTCCTTGTACTTTTCTTTCATCTCCCCCAGTTCGGAAATGAGTTTTTGTATGGTGTTCTGAGCCTGTTGGATCTCATCTGCAATCTCCGAGACTTTCAAGGATAGAGATTTATTCTCTTCCTCTGCACTATTCATACCACTGGTCAGCTCCGAAACTCGCTGCTCTGATACTTCTAGCTGCTGCTTGAAATTAGAAGTTTCAGCTTTGAGCTGATCACTCGTTGCTTTCCAATCTTCTGCAACTTTTTCAGCTTCTAGAAATCTTTTAATACCATTGTCTCTCTCAGTCTGCAGTTCATCTCTCTCTTTTTTAATATCTTCTAACTTCTGCTTCAGATCATTTTCTGTTTTGTCAGCAAAGTCCAGTTTCTGATGAAGTTCCCTGTTATCACTCAGAGCTGTTGTCTTTGCGTCCTCTAACTTCTCAGTTTCAAGTTTCAACTTATTGCTAATATCTTCTGATTCTTTTAACTTCATCAAAGCTACTTCAAGCTCTGAATCTACTGCTTCTTTTTCTTCTTCAGTCGTCGTCAACTTCCCTTTCAGATCAGCAATTTCAAGATTTGCAGTCTCGATTTGTTGCTTCAAGGCACCTATTACATCTTTCTCTACTTTTCCATTTCCATTTCTCTTGGTCTTCCTCTTAGAAGAATGGTCAGAATCCGAGTCTGAGCTCGATGAAGAGGAGCTCTCTCCTTTCCCATTGACCTTTTTCCTAATCTCTCCAGTTAGATCATCATACTGGCGATACAGAGACTGGTATTCGTTGTAGAATTCATTCACTAACTCCGCAACCACTTGTCTTTTAGATTCATCCTCATCGATGTCTCCACTCTCAACTATTCCCAAGATTTTCTTCACCTTTTCATCTATTTCTGCATCACGTAATAAGAGTACTTTTCATGCAAGGAATTTTTAAACCAAGATCTATGGAATTGCATTTGACATGTGAAACACAACTTAGTAGTATAGAAAAATTACCAGTTTTAGTTCCTTTAAGCATTTCACCTTTCTCATGATCAAAATGAGGCTCAAAGAAAGACTTCAAGGTCTCTCTAAACCTATGCTTTTTCATCTCTTTTTCTTCAGTTTCTTTAACCAAATATAATCAATCAAAGAACCTCAATCTTCAACTGTGACCAAACAGGACCTGTCTTCACACAATTCACAGAGAAACTTATCAGAAGAAACGTTAAGACTAGCAAATCTAACTTGCTCAAATTAAATGCCATTATTTAATTAGAAAAGAAGTACCATCCTTTTCACATTTATGTTTCTATATAATTACAAATTAGCAAACTAATAATAATTTGGCTTTTACAGAATCCAGATCATAGGTTAAGCAATCTTGATGTTTTACACTAAAGAGAATATAATAATAGAAGTAGATAGATCCAGCAATTGAACCCTGACAAGGTATGCAGATAAATAATAGAACTCGTGGGGCCCGCAAAGAAAACATTAGATAGATCATAGATTCATAGCCTTTGCCATCATTAAGTAACTTACTTTTAACAGAGGTTACAAAAAAACAAAAAAAAAAAAAAAAAAAACAGTTTAATGATAGAACATAGAACTTGTGATTAAAGCTAAATCACTATTAGTGCTTGTGGTCTAATATTTTGAAATCTGATTGGTATTTGTTGGCTTAGACAAAAGATCTCATGTGGAGCCACCTCAGCAATTTTGGAAATGGACCAGAAAGCACGCACATACCTCTAGAACGATAAAAGACAGCTATCATTATTCAATTTTCATACCTCAGGAAACTGTGAGTTGTTTCTTTTTGTTCTTATATGTTACTACTACTACTAACCTTTAACAAACCATAAACAAATACAGTTTCAACTCAACAAAAACAATCTCGATCCGATCATTCAAATACTACTACTTAAATAAGCATTTCTTAAAGAGAAAGTTACTAGTAAAACTGTAAGTAGAGGTAGTAAAGGAAGAGAGTTACTTAGTTTCTCTTACCCTTTTAATCTCAAACTTCCCTTTAAGCTCCACCGAAGATCCAAAATCGATTTAATGGTTTTTTTTTCCCTGTATAAAATCAAAGAGGAGAATTCATGTGTGAAAACCGAGAATTGTATGTAATTCAAAACTTGTGAGAGGGTTACAGAAGCATAAAAATCTGAAGGATAAATCAGTTACAGTGTCTTAAGCATCACAAAACCAGTCTCAAATAGCCAGAACTGCCACAGAAAACACAATAAACCCAATCGCTAAAGACATTGAAGACGAACAAGAACAAGAACAAGATTTGGAAAGTGAAGCTCATAACATTAATTCACCTTATATAAAACCCTATCACTACTATGAATGAACGAAATCAACAATAATCCAATTGATTCAACTGTAAAACAATCAGATGCAAATGATCAAAAACTACTCAACGAGACAAACAAGAAACTCGTAATTTTCCCAGTCAAAAGGATCATCATCTACACAGATTAAACTACCAAACGTTTTTTATTCTCTTCATGATCCATTGATCTATATCAAAAACTATGTAACTAACGCGTAAACTAAAGCTGATCGAAGAATCAAAGCAACCTGAGACTACTTCTACATCAACAATCAAAATCACGCGGAGAAATCGAAGCTACCAAAACAATCATATAAAATCCGTTCGAAACCTAGAAATTTTACCTGGATACGGAAGCTACAGAGGAGACAAAAATTCCAGGAAAAACAAAAAAAAAATCTCTTCTCTCTGATGTGCGTGAGTGAGTTTACAGAGATGATAAGAGATTACGAAATTGAAATCGGAGCGAGGGAGAGAGATTGAAGAAGAAGAAGAAGAAGAGAAAAGGGCGATTTGGTTTGGTTTGGACTTATTTGAGAGGAGAGAACAGTTATGAAAGCTCTACCTTTTTTTTGGTGTGTGTGTGTTTTTCAATTTTGAAGGAGACGATGATGACTGGGGGAATCTTTTTGGAAACTCGTCTTCCACAAACACCCCTCTCTTTATCCAGATTATTATGCTTCTGCCACTAACGCTATTTCTTTCCTCTTCAAATTCTCGTCAAACCGGTCAAAATATCATTTGACTGTAGTTTATCATTTACGGTTTTGCCACCGATAATGTAAAATCAAATTAGATATATTTATTTTTTTTTGGTTTAGGGCATGTCTAATGCCGTAATTAATCTTAACACATGATTAACGCCTCACCATAACCAAGTGCTTTTCCCGCCTTGTTTTTTTTGAGAAATAAATATGCCTCTTAGGAGTATTCACATTAGAAATTTGGACTAATTTATTTCTTTCCTTTTTAAATAAGGAGAAATTATTATTTTCAATTATATTTCTTTCCTTTTCTCCTATTTATTATTTAGTTTGAATTCTTTGTGATTTATTTCTATTGATAGGTTTTTTCTTCACATTATGCTTCTTTTCTTTTTAATTAAATCAACATGTTCATTCATATTATGATTTTCCTCTTATTCATGAATAATACAAGAAAATTCTTCTCTAGATTTCTTTTGTTATAAAAGCTAATAGATTTTATATAAAATTCCAATTTAAGTATGATATTGTACCTAATATATAATGACCAACTATAATTGAGATTGGAGTGATAAGATTTCAATTACAATCCCATGAGGATTAATCCTATGTTAAACTTAAAAACATTTTGAAATAAACTAACCTAACTTTCCAATAATATGATATTCAATATTAAAAAATAGTTGAAAAATAAAGTTAAGATATGTTATTTACAAGTTTACAACAATGAAAAATACTCAAATCTTGCAACATAATATTTACAGTTTTGCACCAAAGAAGAAGAGGAAGAGGAAGAGGAAGAAGTGAAGTTTAAGCGTGAAGAGCAACGTTGAAGATGGAAGTTTTGAGATCATCATATCGACAACGGTTATAATCATTTAAAACACAAAGCTGTCTTATGGCTTCTCTCTTCCCTTCTCCTAAGCTCAACAACTCATACTCTTTCTCCTTCACATCTATCTCAAGCTTTTTTATTTTCCTCATTGCCTTTGCTAGACTCAGCTTCCCTGTTCCTTCCTCTGCTAGCTTCGCCTCTAGTTTCGATAGCTTCTCCTTTAGTAAACATTCTTGTGCTTCTCTGCATTCTAGCTTTGCTTCTAGCGTTTCAACCTCATGCTTCGTCTTGTTGTCCTTCTCTTTCACCCACTTTTTCGCTGTATCGATCTCTTTAGCTAATCTCGTGACTCGGCTCACTAATCCCCCGCTTTCTTCTAGCTTCTTTATCGCCATCTCTGGTCCTGCAAGCCCTTTCTCCACCATTTCTTTGATTTTCTTGAATTGGGTTTCAGAGACATTGAAATCTTCTCTGTTTCCTCTGTTTCCTTGTACTTGTGTGTTGTCTCTGTTTCCTCTGTTTTCTTGGACTTGTGTGTTGTCACGCGTCTTGATATAGCTGTTCTTGCTCTCTAGGTGTATCTGTTCGGCTACATGGATCCTCCTGTACAGTATACGGATATGATCTTCCATTTTCATTCGGAAATCTTCAGCCAACTCTTCCATCTTCCTCTCGAGAAGATTTGTATTCAATTTCGAACCACCAAACGACCAACGTCTCATTTGCTTCTGATCCTCTGAGAGCTTATCATTGGCATCTTTTTGTTCTTTAAGAAGTTTCTTCTGATCATTAGTCTCCATTGATAGCCTGCATGCAGTGAATTTTAAATTTCAACGGTAACAACAACAAACTTCAATTTAAAAGCTTTTTACAAAATCTTGTTTCCCTCTCTTACCGTTGAATGATGTCTTCTTGTTCCTTCTCTAGTTTAGGCTGATCAGTAACTTGGTTGTCAAGTTTCTTACTCTTGTCTCCAATTTCATCGATCTCTCCGATTCTTGTTTGCAGCTTCTGATTCTCTTCCTTAAGACGATCAATCTCAGTGATCTTACTCTTCATCTCTTCACTATACTCCTTTCTCTTCTTCCGTAAAGTCTCAACGCCCGCTTCAAGTTTCTGTACTTTGTTCCACAAAGCTACCTTTTCTTCAACAATCTTCATCTCTGCCTTAGCTTTTTTCTCTGCCTCTTCCTCCAAACGCTTCAATCGCATTTGCGTCTCTGAAACTTGATTGGTTTTATTCTTCAGCTCCACTTCCAACTCCTTTTTCTGGTTACGCAACAATGCAGCTTCACTTTTAGTCATCAAGCCTTTGAAATGGTCCCTGTCCTCGTTTCTCTTACCTTCAATATCTCCAGCCACTTCCATGTTTTGATCGCGTAAAAACACAGTTTCTTCTTTGAGTCTGCTCACTTGTTTCTCCAAATCTTCATTTCTTAGCTCTGTCTCTTGAAGCTTTCTTAGCAACAGCGCGTAATCCGAGCTCAATGTTTCACTACCATTACTGGTCTCTATCTCCTCTGAAGAATAGTAATCCAAATCCGAACTAGACCTTGAGGATGAATCTGTACCCAATTTTGCTTTTCTTCCATGTTTAGTTCCCAAATCATCAAACACATAGTAAAGTAAGCGACACTGCTCGTGAAGATCTTCAACAACCCCAACAAGCTCCTTCTTTGTAACCTTTGGGATCTTGTTTTTGTTTTGAATTAACTTCAAAAGTACAGACAACTTCTTCTCCACTTCTGCATAAGTACATAACGAACATAATCTTACATAACAAAAAAAAACTTCAAAAACATAGGAATCATTGAATTCAAAAACATAGGAATCATTGAAATAATCATCACCTGCTTTTGCTTCCTCCATTTTCAATCACTCTGAAAACAAACAAACAACATCGATCAGACTTCATAACATATACAAACAAGAAGCAAATCTGTAACTTGGCATGTAAGTAAACAAAAATGATCATGAAAAAACCAACACATTGACAATGAAATCGAGCAAACCATCAATTCCTTGTATCCCAAGAAATCTTTATAGTTAAGGTTTATCATTAGGATTAGAGTAGAAAAATTTATAAAGACACATCAAATGCAGCTTTCATCATGGTCATAGAGAAGATTAGAGAAATAAAAATTGAAGAGACAATGTAAGAGGATGTAAACTAAACGAAGGTCGTGGTCATGAACCCTACACAGAGAATGACGATTAAGGAGAAAAAAAAGAAGAAAAAATAAACAACAACTGGGTTCCACCATTGATGCAATTTCAAAGCAAAGAACTTAATAAGGTTTAGATTTTCACCGGCAAAAAATCGAAATTTAGCTTTCACCCTGCGGCTGAAAGCTGAAAAAGATAGAACATAGAAAGATCTAAAACTCTTTTTTTTTTTTCCAAAAAAGAATTTGGAAGACAAGATTTTAGCAAATTCTCAGATAAAACGAGAGGTTGTGTAATTTTCTTAAAAAATCTAAATTATATTTATCTTTTAAAGGTGTTTCTTTTTTTAATTGTTTGGTGTGCTTTTACGAGAGGAGGGAATGCAAAATTTGGCACTACCTGTGTTCTCTAAATTGCCATTGAAGTTGGTTCATAATTACGGAAATAACCCAATTAGAACGATTCACAAACGAATGAGTTTTGCTATAAATTCTCGTCTTCTTCATTCTCTCGATATTTTGCTCGGAGGACGTGATTGGTTCGATATCCACTAGTTCCGCTGCAGCCGTAATCATGCCACGTGGCAAATTTTTATGGCTTGTGATGCAAGTTGTTAAGTGACGTTAAAGGTTTAATTAGTCGCCTCAAGGTGAAATAGAAAAGCACTAATAAACGAAAGGATGAAGTTATTAAGATAAGGTTTCAGAATTTCGTAAACCGAAAGATCAAAGAACATAAACCGGAATGAAGAAACCAGATTTGAGTTTTTTGATTGGTGCTTGGATAACAAAAATTACTGCTAAATCAAACAGGATGAGTGACGATGTACAGAGAGAACTAAGTGAGAAGAGAATACAAAACAACTCACAGTTTTGATTTTGATTTCAAATAATTTTAAAAGAAGAAGCTTAGGAATCTTAATCTTCCTCAGAAGCAGCGACCTTCTGTTTCTTCCATTTGTATGCAGCTTCGAGAATCTTGAGATTCGTTGTCTGCGATTCTTCTGGGTACATATAATCGATGTATTCTTCGTACCTGTTAATGAGAGATTCAAACAATTTTTATTCACGTTAAGCTTTTAGCATTCAACTCTAATCACATTTGAAACATAACAAATCGAGGTATAATGTATAAGCAATGCGTACTCTGTTGAACCGTCTTCTCTGGTGATCTGCTTTCTCTTCTTGAGCTTCTTTGGAAGCTTTGACCGGACGATACTAACATCCCCGAGGTTACCAAAGCTCGTCTCCGTGTTCAGCCAATCCTCCAAGAGTGTAGCTCGTTCTTCCTTCAGCTCTGGTGCAGAGTCTTTGTAATATGTGTTGGCTCTATCGAAAATCGCTGAGTGGAAGAAATATAGAGAGAAAACAGTTAAAACGTGTCACAAGGTATCATAAACACTCATATAAAGAAGCGTAGTTTTAAAGTTACCTCTAGCACGTCTGATACATTCCTTTTTGTGTTCAAGAACACCTTCTTCTTGGTCTTCATCTTCGTTCTCATCTTCTTTTAGTTCTGCAGCTGAAGCTTCAAACTTTGCAAAGCTAACCCACACCTTGTAGTGCTTAGTACGGTCTAAGAGTCGTTCATACAAAGCTCGGGTCATCTCTAATTCCCCTTCTGATATCTCAAAATCAATGTATGCCTGCCACAAACAATATAGAATTTCAATGATCCAATTGGGTTCAATAGTCTGAGGAATCTCACTTCTATGAATGAATGCTTATGACTGGAAAAACATACCTTCCATAGCAGCTCAGGCATGTCAAGAGCTGGCTGGGATATTGCAAGTTCAAATATAGCTCTAGCTCGTTCGGTTTCAGCAAGAGACCTTTCTAATTCAGCATACTTGCTCCAAGCATAGCAATTCTCAGGAGACCACTCAAGATACCGTTCATATAACTTTCTACACCTATCTATGTTTCCCAACTGAAGCTCGATCTCAATGTACTTCTTAAATATCTATTTCCAGGAGAAAAAAATCCCGCAGTTAATAACCATGTGTGTATGCTTAAAGGAGAGTAATGAAAAAGTATATCAAACCATTTATCAGGCTAACCTTATCTTTTGGAGCTTTTCCAATTGCATTTCCCAATATCTGTCGTGCACCTGTGAGATTCAATTGCCTGATCTCAAACTGTGCAGCGAGCAACCATATTTTGGCAAAAGAAAATTTGCTGTGGGGGATAAGTTTGAGACATTCTCTGAAAATTCAGCAAGAGAACGAAAAATAGTCAGTGTAAACTATCAAGTGATATTTGAGAAGAAACTCATGGACATCTCATAAATCAATATATACTTAAGCATACCTGTAAACATCTCGAGTACGCTCAACATCTTCAGTTTCAATTTCTTCATACAATGCATAATTAATCCTACATCAAATAGTTACATCAGTGTCAGTATTTGAGAAAACCACAGAACCATAACCTATCAAAATACAACAAGAACAGCTTTCCATGGAATGCAAGCATCTGTTTTCATATATTTAGTGTATCGATAGAATTAGTGACTCCGGTGTGATAGAACTAAGACGACCAAACTCAAATAGTTTAATTAAAGGACACTAAACTTAACCTTGCTATCAAAACAATGAACAGCCTAAGAAGCCAACATTCCAATTCCAAATCGATAATGCGTTATTGGCAAAATCAGTATACCAAAAAAGAAAGAAACTCACCAAAGATAGATATATCTTTGCCAATATCGTTTCTCCTCAGCAGGTGGAACATTAGCAATAGCCCTCTCATAGATTTCTCTGATCCTATCTTTGTTTCCCACACTCTCCTCTAGCCTAACATAATCAAACCATGAATCATAGTTCAAAGGATTCTTCCTCACTTCCTCTTCATACTGAAACCTCCTCTTCCCAACAATGGCATCCTCAATTCCTTCCTTATCACCATACTGTTTCTCAAAAGCCACAAACTTTCTATACAAATCCTCAGCTCTGCCTTTAGGAATATGATCAAGAGCAAACTTATAGATAAACCTAGCTCTTTCTACTTCCTTACAGCGTTCTTCAAACTCAGCAAATGCCACAAAGAGCTGCTCAGCTTCTTCATCATCAGCTAGCTTCTCTGTGGCACGTTCATACACACTCCTACAACGCGCCACTTCACCACCCTTCATCTCAAACTTAGCATATCTAATATAAGCAGATACTCTCGGATGACAAAGAACAAATCTCTCGTAAATCGTTCTAGCACGTTCGATTTCATTATACCTAAGTTCGAATTTAATAAAGGAGAGCCAACCTTGTTGATCCGGAGACCAATCCATCCACCGTTCAAAAATCTGTCTAGCTCCGGCAATGTTCCCAAGTATCTCCTCCATATGAATATACTTGTACCAAAGCTGGTCAATACGAGGAAGAAGCGTAACAGCTCGATCCCAAACGTTTCTCGCACTGTTGACAAACTTGTTCTTCATCTCGAACTCAGCGTACTTGAGCCAAAGCGTATGGTTCCTGTAATCTCCTTCTATGGCTCGTTCCCATACACTCCGAGCACGAGCGTAATCCTTCTGCGACTCTTCCCATTGAGCGTACTTGACCCAAACCTGAATGTTCCATCTGGCGCGACGGATCTGGTCCTCAAATTCCTTTCTCCGGCGGAGTCTGTAGTCGGAAAGCTCAGTGGAATCAGTGATTTTCTGCTTAGGCGGACGGATCTCAGCTTCTTGTCTCTCACGAGCTTCTCTCAAAATTTGCTCGGCGGTGATTTGAACCGGCGCCGGAGTTTTGTTCTTGACACGAGTAGGTCTTGGAAGCTTCACTTCAGTATCTTTGCGGGTCATGTACCCTAAGGTACGGTCGGAATCTTTTCCGCCGGAGGCCATGAGAGCTCGCGGTTTTTGCTTTTTCTGGGGTTTCTAGATTTATGGGTAAAAGAGGGGAAGAAGAAAAAGGATTGAGAACCCGAACATAGAGAGAAGAAACAACACAGGCGCATTTTTTATTGGGCTCTTAATGGGCCGCGATAGGTTAAGTATATATATCTAAGCCCAATAATATTAGTGCGGACAATGGTGAAAAAGTTTAATAATCCTCTGATTCCTTCGATCACTTTCTTTGAACTGAGAATGCAGACGCTGCGTCTGCAACTAAGAAGAACTTTTACACTTTAAATTTTTCAGATTAACTATAGTTTTGTGAAAGAAACACTTCAAGTTGTATCAAATTCCAAATAGCAAAGATTCAAAAATAGCAAAAGATAAAACCAATAACATCTTAACATAGAAAAGTAAACAATCCAAAACAAAGTCATGACCATAACATAAACCAGAAACTTAAACTAGCATAATCCGAAACAAAACAACCAGAAAAACCATAAACGGAAATCCAAAGTTCAAAGACAAATAAAAAGAAAAAGACATATGAGTGCATCTAATGGGATGGTGATGCTTCAAGGATCACACAGATCAAATCATGCACATACGCAGTCTTTTGATGGACGATTTCGGCGTCTTTGGCTTCCAAGTCACTCCACCGGTCCAGCATAATCTTCTTCTTCTCTTTCGCAACACAAGACCAGCTTTTCACTTTATCTTTCTCCATGCCAAGAATAGTTACCACACGATACAAAATCGAGTTCTTAAACCAATCTTCTCCTTGTTCATGAATCATCACGTCCTTTTCTTCTTCAAGCTTCTGGATTTTCTCACTCTTTCTTGATTCCTTAGCATCACTTGTTCCCGATAACCCCCAAATTTCCTTAGCGAGTTCAAAAGCTTTAAGGTCTTGAGGTCCCGATGGTTTCTTACCACTATCCAGTTTCTTTTGATACTTACTTCTAACTGCATGAATCTTTGCTGTGCATTGCTTTAAACTAACCTTAAAACTGATAGACCCCTTGATGAAGTTGTAGATCTTTTCACGAACACTGGGGTTAAATTTTGTACTTGTTCCGGTTTTGCAGCGAATGATTCCTTGCAGTAGGATCAACTCATCCTCTTTTCTCCATAGTTGAGGAGGAACCGATTTCTTGACACTCGATTTCACTTTCTTTGCAGCACTCATGTCTTGTGACGAAGTTCTTTCACTCACACGCTTTTGTCCCTTAGCTTTCTCGGCAGCTTTGGAAGGAGTTTGTTCCTTTGTTGGCTCTTCGTCTTCAGAAGACGCTTCATCCTCCTCGGAGCTTGTCTCTCTGCTGTCCTCTTCTTCTTCCTCGGAGCTTATCTTTTTAGTCACCATTGTTTGAAGTAAGTTTCAAATGAGATATTTTGGATTTTTTTTTTTAAGTTACGAGTAACATCAAAGAGGATATTTATATAGAAAAAAAGAGCATGCATCGACAGAATTGGAAAACATTTTCAGCCTTAATTACCATTGGAAAACATTTGATTTTGTTATGTGTGTCAATAATGATTTTTTATCTTTTCAAGATTTTTTTTTTTATTGATATCTGATTTAGTGCTTTGGTGGTCACTTGTGGTGATTTGAATCGCATCCTTTAAACATAAAAAAAAAATATTTCTAACCACTTTGGTGAAGGATCTTTGCGTACAAGTACAACCGGAGTGAAGAGAGTAATTGATCCATTGCTTAGTGTGGACTGTGGAGATATATATATGTTTCTCTTTTAATTTAGTTGATACGTTCTTGAACTGTTACATTAAAAGAGTCCTCAATTTACAGTGAAGTTTAGTTTGATATATCGCTCCTATGGCTCAATATATATCAATTATATTTTCTATATATCATGAATACTATCATGTATCATCAGTTCTTAATTAATCTTTTGTTACATACTTACATGCATAAGAATGGTCTATATAACCTAAACCTTTCGTGCAAAAAAACACTTCAAAGCTCTTCTTGTCAACGAAAGATTACAGTAAAACACATCAACAATAAAGTAAAATTCCAAATAAAAGATTCATCAACCAATTAAAAGATAAACCATCAATCCAAAATAAAGTTATCATAACATAAAACATAGAAACTTAGATATCATAATCCGGAAACAAAAGATAACCAGAAAAAACCCATTTCTCAAAAAACGTTTTAGTTTCTCTGAGAGAGAGTGAAAGAGAGATTTGGTAGATGTTAAAACCCACAAGTCACTTGATGATTAATTAGTTGTCTTTTTATTGGAAATTGTGTATAATTGCCTTCAATATTATTCTTTGTGGTTTCTTATGAGTTTCTATGTAGTATTTAGTTTTGAAAAGGAAAAATAAATAAAAGATTTACACACTTATTACGTGAATATTACACAGTAGTTTAATACTATGAGTCACAATTAAGTGAAGCCTTAAATTCATTCTTTTAATTTGTTCCAACATAGATATTCTTGTGCAATTGAGAATAAACAATCATATCATGGAGAATTTAAAAACCTAGTAGTAGTAATACTTTTGTTCACTATATATATAGTATGAGTTTTGATCGATGCTTCGTGTGTAATTTACAACCTAATAATACAATTGTCACGAAGAACAGATTTGGCAAACTATTCTATATATCCATCATGATGAATCCAAGCTATTAATTAAGTATTAACCAGCTTAAATGGACGTAAATGCATTATATATAGGTGCACACAAGCTTTACGTCCATTTATCTAACATTACAAGTAATAAAATCTTAAAACTACTGACGGTACATATATGTTCTCCTAAGAAATATCCAAAATTTTTACAAAAGTTGCTGTGAAATTTTTATAAACAAAATCAGCACAATATTATTTATAGATGTGTACAAACGATCGTTCAATAAGTATATTGGATGTATTCTACAAAAAAAAAAAACAAAAAAAACAACAAATATTCGTGTTTCTAAAAGTATACAATTTCTTGTTTGTTATATCACATATCAAAAATAAAAAAATTGAGCATGTTTAGATGGAGCATTCATATAAGACTAGCTAGCTAGTATAGTATAATTGTTATATAAAGAAAATGAACCAAAATAGTCACATACTGTATATTAAATTCTAGTATAGAGTTATTACAAATGTCGTGCCCATGAGGTAATAACAATAACATACATGGAGAGTAGAGAAACACACGATCAACACATAGACATGTCCAAGATAAATATATACATGCAAACATGTTTCTTTTTTCACCATTTAACCAATCTATTTTTATTTTAAATAGTAACATATTACATATACATATGAGTATATGACGTACGATGAAACTCATGTTACGATAACACCTAGCTAGTGCTAGTTCTCCGGCGACCAGAGAAAAGCTCCGATGACAAACTTCCTCTTCTCGTAAGAATCTCCGATGATCGGCAAGCCGTACTCTCTAAGAAGCTGGTCCAATTGCCACTCTGGCATTTTCTCATAATCACTTTTCGTATACTTTGGATAATGAAGTGGAATCTGAAAACTTGATTGGTTTTGATGAGACTTGTCGTGATTGATGATGTTCGTCTTCTTGCTCCTATGATCCTCACCATCATCTTGATGATCATGATGACTCCTGTAGTGAATGGTTGTAGTCGAAGGACCATGGCTGAATCTGATTCCCATTTTGATATATTATTTGACAAGAAAGCTTATTAGCTAGCTAGGTTTCTTGAGATGATTTGTAATTAGGGCTTTTCAGGTTTTTCTTATGTGGATATGGGAGATGTGTTTATTATATAGGAGGAGAAAACAAATTTGTGGATATGTGAAGAACTTCGTGGGATCATGTAGATGCAAGCACGTACTAGATTTTAGAAGACTTATTTTCTTTAAAGTTTTAGTTATTTTTTTTTGCAACTATGAAAATGATAATGTTATATTTTTAGTTTTGTTCTTTTGTGTGTTAATGTTTGTCTTTTGTGAGTTTAATTTATTTCGATCGTCGACTAGATCAAATGCCATATACAAAATTTTCATTTCATATACAAATTGATAACGAGTAATAATAAATCACCATGAGTACTCTAGTAATTAGACTCAAAACCCTATGAAAAAAAATTAGACTAAAATTAAAGATAAATATGTTGGTGTATATATGTGTAAAGAGATATATATATACTCGGAGATACATATAAGTGTTCCCAATACTAGAATCATGATTATGCAACATCATCATTGTAGAGTTTTATTATGCAAAAGGAGTGTGATTGGTTGGCGCCGTGGTTGAAGAGTTTTATTTAAAAAATTTAACTGTTGGTTGCCACTTTTAAAAAGTAATTATTATTGGTTTAAGAAAGATGCTAAACAAGAACAAAAATAAAATGATTACGACTGTTTTCTAGGTAGATTTTTAAAATAAGTAGGGCCTAATTAATCAGAAAGATAAAACATGGATTTAAAAACTTTCGAATTATTTAAAAGTCACTTCTTATTTTCTTAATTAGTGAATGACAAACTGTATAAATATTAATTTTTTTTTATGTAGAACACGCAAATTTATTTTAAGGTGGCAAAAGAGCTCTTAAATTTTAAAATGCACCTTAATAATATATATGGATAATCAAAAATACGTACTCACATCTTGAAAAACATTTCACACATTTTAGAAAGCGGATTTTTACAATTTCAATGTTATAGGGCTAATTTGTTTTGTTATATATATATAAAAAACGAATATCTTGTTTGTAATGAAAATAATCAATATTGGAGGTTGCAATATTATCACCTCACATATTAAATGCATCAAGATAACTCTTTTTCTTTTGTGTGTGTATCTTTGTATTTCTCATTAATTGGCTTTAGTTGAATTTTACAAATATTCGTTTTCACACAATATAAGCGAATTTAATGCTTATTTTTTGTTTTGTTATCGACATCCCTTATAGTAACTGTAAGACTACGATTGAATTTAGTGTTGAAGCAACTTGGTGATTGAAACAAAACAAAACAAAACAAAACAAAACAAACAAGTTTCTCAATAATTAAATTTTCATGCTTTGAAGATGGTTTAACTCAGGTTTATCAGACTCAAAACACGCAAAATAATGCTAGTATTCTAAACTGCTAATTCTCTATTGGTCTAAATGAATAACCCTAATGATGATCATCTATTAAAAAGCTCAATGTATACCGTTTCACACGACACGATGACAATTATAACATTGAAACCATTAGTGGAAGAGTTAGTTTGATCGTTTCTCGAAATAAATGAGGAAGATGAGCAGACCCCATTAGAGATTCTTTGGAACCATTCTAAAATCTTTTCTACTTGCGCATGCATGCGACGACTAGTTCTTTCTCTTTATTGTTTTACTACAAGTGAGTGAGTAGTGACCTATCGTTACGGATTTGGCTTTACCATTTATTTCACTTTTTGTCAATGTGTCTTAAATAACCTATGCAGTGACTCGTGGCCATCTATGGGATGTCACACTAGTATGTATGATCAACTTCAAATATACGAAACCGTATTAAGAAAATTGGATAAACTACCATTTATTAAGAAATTGATTGATTTATCAGTTTGTAACAACGAAGATATAGATGGGATGGGATGATATACAAAGTTACGTAATACATCTTCAACCTCTTACTACTACATAAATGAGAAAATCTAGAAATAGTTTTGTTATCATTCTGTGTAGTCATGCTCGACATGTATGACTAATTGACTAGTGTTTTTGAAATAAGAGATGGAAGCTAAATCAAATTGTTCTATATTTTTTTTGGGTTTTTGTTTCTTACTTAAACTTTAACTTGTAGAACAATTTGTTTTCACTTGACCAGACAGGGAAGGCCAATACAAAGCAAGCCCAATGTCTTCGATAAACCAAAGCCGAACCGAACTCTTGATAACTCAACCAATATCAGACCAGCCGGTCAAAACCAGGAACACAATAATTTTATCTCGTACACACTTGTTTAAAACAACAAACAGGCTTCAACGATCGAATTTACTACTTCTGATGTACATTTACAAAGAAAAGAATTGGTACGTGAAGAAACTAAAATAACTCATTTCGAAGTTTCTGATTCCCTAACAGAGATGAAGCTAGAAGAAGATCATTGCGTTCTTTTACTAGCAATGTTGCCTTTCTATACTTGTTGAACTAACCTTTTCGTCTCCATTTGATTCAAGAATCTGTCTTTTCTTCTACGACAACTTGCTTTAAGGTCTTGGTATGCGTTTCGTTTGTCACCGGTAAGTCCACGAGCGTTTGTGGAGGAGCAAAGTACATATGCAGCGACATGATGCATATGATTATACCCAAGAAAAGCTGCAGGATTAAAGAATATCCAAATGAGGCATATACAGGAAAGAGGATCCGATCCTAAGATAAATCATACACAAACCTGCAGTGTTGGTTTGAAGCTGAAGAGGTATATGGATGCAACCATAGTAAGAAGCATTGCCATTGATGTAGAATATACCTAAAAGACAAATGTAAATGTGTGTTTGAAAACAGATTTTTCTTTTACTTACTTATGTTTGATGATGAAGAACAAGAATGATCATTTTACCTTCACAATATTGTCTGCATACTTCATTAACCAGGAGACCAGTAAGCCAGTGGATCCGAGATTCAGAACTACCATCCAAGTGGTGATGCTATACCCATCAAAGATACGTTGCCACCAAGGACCCTTTTCAAACCCGTGTCGGAAATCATCTGCTATAAGCCGGGCAACGTTGAAAAGAGAACCAAACCTGGTGACGAGTAAAGAAACAAAAGGTACGATGATTAAACCATGGATATCATTGGTTAATGAAAAGGCTGCTAAGTTGAATAAGTAGTGTGACAATAACATTCTTGGCATGAGAAAGTTTGATCTGAAGAAGAGATACCTACGTATATAACTGCAAGTTTTGCCAGTATAAGGTGTCGTTGTTTCTCTTCATCAGAAACTCTGTGTAGATTCCGGCTAGCGCAGACAAACCAGCTGAGAGGATGCCCAGCAAATAACCTTGTATAGGTGCCGTGAATAAAGAATCACATGAAGCTTCTCCACATCCCTTAACCTGAGACAAGAAGACAAATTGAATGCTTGAAATTTTGATGCCAGCTTAGCTTTTGGATTGCCAGAACAAAAGCAGTGTGCTGAATGCTAAGTAGAACAACATAAGGTTCTAAGCAGTATGACAAAAAGGAGAACATAATACACAATTCAAAATGTTTATGCATCATCTCACCTGGCTGGTAGTTGTTCCAACAGCTAAAAGACCAATCGCCATCCACTGAAGTTTAGATAGTCTCCTTTTCAAAAATAACCTATAACAACGACAGATTACAAATTAGTTAGTTAACCCAAAGAGAGAGCTTGGCACAAAAGGATAGTATAGAGAAAGAGAAGGCACACAAAACAGATACCTAAACAGTATGCCAGTGGTCACAATCTTCAAATTACCCATAATCTGATAAGTGGATGTGTCCACAT